TCCATCAGACCCTCCTCCATCAGACCCTCCTCCATCAGACCCTTCTCCATCAGACCCCCTCCATCAGACCCTCCTCCATCAGTCCCTCCTCCATCTGACCCCCTCCATCAGCCCCTCCTCCATCAGACCCCTCTCCATCAGACCCCCTCCATCAGACCCCCTCCATCAGACCCTCCTCCATCAGACCCTCCTCCATCAGACCCTCCCCTGCAGAGCAAGTCACAGGGATCCTCAGCCAGGAAGATCATGTTCTCAAGTGGTGTCTGAACATGAGAACCCCAGGAATGGAGGACCCCAGCATCCTCATGGAGCCCCTGATCCCTCTCTCCACACCTGGAGATAGCCTGAGTTCCCAGGGCTGCACGGCCTCCTTCCCATTCCACACAGTGAGCAGAGGGTGGCACAGCCAGATGGGCTGGGTTTAGCCTCTAGCCCCTCCGCTGACCAGCCGTTTGGCTTTAGACAAGCTGCACTGTCCCCATTTCTCCTACCGTGAAGTGAGAACCACCATGTGTGAAAGGCTTATACTTGGGATTGTACAGGAAATGTCTGCAAAGTCCATGCACGGCTCTCACACAATCTGCCCCCTCCACAGCCAGGACCCACGTTGCCTGCTTCGTCTGTGAAGTGATCTTCTGGGAGTCTCCACGGCCCTGTAATCTGGCCTCACAGGTTGTGCACTGCACAACCCCGGGGGTGATATCTGCATCGGAGGGAAACTACAGCTGTCCAAGAGCCAGCCTGGGTCCCTCCCTTCCTTCTGTGTCAGTATACTTGATTTCATGCTTTAAGCCGTGCCAGCAGAAGGAGTCTAGGATTGGAGGATTTGAGCTGCCAGCAATATGCAGACTGGGAGTGTTCCTACACAGCAGCTGTGACACAGCCGCATCCCAAAGCCCTCCCGTTGAAGTTATGTGGACACACGCACACACCCACATGCACACATGTGCGTTTTTCTGTTTCTTTCTCTCCCTCTCTCCTGAGACCTTCCTGGCTTTGCTGATCCACAGGGGTTTTTCTTCAGATAGATTGTGAATACTTAAGGGCGAGGACTCTACCTCATTCTTCTTGTCTCCCTTATGTCAGCATATGAACTGGCACTCAATAAACTTTCCTTGGTTGGATGGATGGATGGATAGATGGTTGAGTGGATGGGTGAATGGATGGATGAGTGGGTGAATGGGTGAAGGGATGGAAGGATGGATGATTGAGTGGGTGGTTGAGAGGGTGGTTGGAGGGAGGGATGGGTGGATGGACAAATAAATGGATGGATAGTTGAGTTGGTGGCTGAATGGATGGATGGATGGATGGTTGAGTGGATGGTTGGATGTATGGATGGATAGATGGGTATATAGGTAGATGGAGGGACCAGGTCAGGGGCAGCTCACAGCACACATGCACTCACCGCTCTCATACTTACCGTGGTTCCATTGTCTATCAATCTGGGCATCCCCTCCCCCACCAGACCACGTGCTCTTTGAGGGCAAGCCTCGGTCCCCCTCTCTTACCACTTGGTCCACAGCACCGAGCTCTGGGCCTGTGCACTGTGAGTGCTCAGTAGGTATTTATGGAAGAAGAAACGGGTGGGAGATGTCAGAAGAGGAAAGACAAGCTTTCTTTATTACAGAAACACAAGTGAATGGAGATGGCATGTTTATTAAAACTACGTGATAACTGTAGATGAAATCTGAAGGATGGGACTTTAAAATATACATCAACTACTTTATCTGAAGCCCAAGAAGCCACAGAGTCATGGGGTGCAACACCCGGGTTGATTGAATACGCCACTCTCTTTTTCAAGGCAAGGGTAAGGTCCTCGGCTGATATCGGAGCAGCTGATGTGACTCAGGAAGAACCCGAGACACATTCCTGGTCTTCCCGGAATGCCCAGCGTGGCACCAGCTCTCGGCAGATGCTCAGCGAGCGTGTGATGGGAACCAAGGCAAATGGAGCATCCAACGCAGCCAGCCACGTTCCAGATCATGTGCAGTTTATTCCACTTGATTAGCATTTGTCATCCCCACGTACCACACATTGCAATTCTTCACCGACTCTGAGAACATCCGGTAAATCAAAACACTCCTTTCCCCAAATGTTCTGTGTCAATGGCAGTTAATTACAGTCAACGAAATTAATATCCTGAATTAAAAGCCAAGACCACGTTATAATTCTAAGTTCATTGAGGAAAAACACTATACTTTCAGGTATGAGTTGTCTAATATAATTCTAATCTATTTCAAATAAAGCAAAAAGCATTGCCTCTTAGCTTAGTATAATGGAGAAAATTCTAGACAAAACTACTTAGATTTAGACCCATTTTCCCATTAATTCATTTTGTGACTCTAAGTAAGTAACCCACTCACTCCTCTGGTTTCGTTGTGTAATGGGAGAATGTACCTCCCCCGTGGCGAGACCATATGAACGAACGCATGAACACGCTTGAAAAAATGTAAAAGAGTGATATGTGTATATATTATTTTATTTCTACCGATTTAAAAGATTTCCATATTAATAGAGTACCTTTTTAGTCCCTGTTGTGTAAATAGAAATAATATCTTGGGATGCAGGAGAAAAGTTAAGGAGCATAATATATGTATCTACTAAAGATACCATCAGCAATGTGTTTATAAGGCTGACCTATTTTTAAAAGAGCTTCAAGAGCACTGTCCGTGACTCTGAAAATGTGAAACGTGATGTGTTTGCCAGCAGGTGCGTCGGGTGACGGAAGCCAACAGAGCGTAGGCCTGGGGCTGGGTCACGTGGCAGGTGTGGGAGGTCTGGGTGGGGCTGGCGGCAGAACCACACGTGTGCCAGGTCTGAGGATGCGTGTCTGGAGCCCAGGCGCCCCACACCTCCGACGGCCCCCTCATCCACCTGGCCGGACCTCCAGGATGGTGGACCTTCCGGGGCAGGTGAGGCTGTCGTCGTCCTCCCCAGGGCTCAGGCAGCACGCAGGTAGGGCAGACGGCTGTCATGGCTTGATGGACTGAGAACCGAGCTCGACTCACGGCGACCTGCACGGGGAAGGGGGTCACAGGGTCAGCCTGCAGGAAAGGCGAAGCTCACAGAGGAGCCCCAGGAGCACGGGTAGTGGAGGGAACCAGCAACCAAAGCAGTGACATCTGCGCTCACTGGACAGGGACAGATCACGCCCAGAATGAAAGGGCAGCGGCTCCCGGAAGGCACAGAGGAAGGGGGCTGTGCCTGGTCTCAGCGAGCGCAGCTCCGCACGCCAGCCGTGGTTGCTGCAGACTCTTGAGCCCACGAGCACGCCTGGGCCCTGCACCTGTCTGCAGAGAGCCCACGCGGGGCTTCTGCAAGCGCGGGCCTATCAAGGCGGGGCGGGGGCAGGGTGGGGCGGGCTGGCGGCTGATCTTCCTCAAAGAGCAGAGATTTGCAGGAACTTCAGAACCAGTGGTAGACAGTTTTCACTTTGAGAGAACGAGAAAAGACAAAAGGCCAGTTTTTCCTTGGACGTTTTCATTTCCGGGAGAGGGGCCGTCCAGCCTGACCTGGCCCCCACCCACCTGATTTCCTTAGAAATTTAGCAGGACAAGTGTTGGCCTTGTTGTTGGGGTTCACATTTTAAATACTAAGTAGGATTCACTGGAATTCCCTTAAACCCTCCCCGGGAGATGACTGGCTCCAGCCCTGGCCTGTCTGTGCTGGGAGGGTCTGGGACGCGGAATGATGGGCACGTCAGTTAACAGGGGTCCCCGGAGGAGACGGGGCTGAGATGAAGCTGACACCAGCGTCCTTCTCGCTTCTGTGGAGTCAGGTCCGCGGCGGGTGGCACTTGCTCTGATGAAGTCCCCGGCGTGGAGGGCGGCTTTCGGAGAAGGGCGCTGCAGCCGGGGCGTTTGCGGATGGGGCCAGCGTCTACCACACCTGGCTGAGGCTCAAAGATCCGGTGTCTCAAGAGCTCACAGAGCTGAGCCCAGGGAATATGGCCTTGGCCGGGGCAGCCTCTTGCCCCCTTGCCCAGCGAGGAGGAAGGGCACATTGCAAACCACTGCAGGGGCAGGCTGGTACTGACGGCGTCTCCTGGCGGGGCTGGGACGGAGCGGGGCCCGTGACGGGAAGGGTCCTCATGACCCAAACCCACAGGGCCCAGCCCAGAGGCTAAACGGCACCAAAGTGAGGAGGCTTATTTACTTTTCGTTATCAGAGAGTACGGGTGAACTGAACTCACTGCTGCCCTCCCGCCCCATGTGGGACCCTCAGGGGTGGCCGAGGACCCAGGCCAGGACGGAGCAGCACCTGCCTCCCTGGGACACTTTGGGTATCCTGCGAAGGCTCTCTCCTGACCACAGCAGCGGCACCCTGCCAGGGACGCCTGGCGCCCCACTGTGAAAAGTGAGCACCCCTTACGGCAGCGGTTCCCGACCAACCATTTTTGGCACCAGGGGCTGGTTTCGCAGAGGACAGTTTTTCCACCGATCGGGGTGGCTGCAGGATGATTTGGGTCATCACATCTATCGTGCAGTCAAACCTCTCCGCTAAGGACGATCTGTATTTGCAGCCGCTCCCCAGCGCTGGCGTCACCGCCTCCGATTCTCACCAGGAGCGCACAACCTGGATCGGTCACATGCGCGGTTCACAGCAGGGTCCGCACTCCCCTGAGAATCTAGGGCTGCCGCCGGTCCGGCAGGAGGGGGGGCTTGTGCGGTGATGCCAGCGACGGGGAGCAGCTGCAAGTGCAGATGAAGCTTCGCTCACTTGCCTGCTGCTCACCTGCCCTGCGGCCCGGTTCCTAAGAGGCCACGGACGGGGCCCAGTCTGAGGCCCAGGGGTTGGGGACTGCAGCCTTACAGAACTATTAAAATGCAAATTTCCCAGGTCTCTGATAAGCAGGAAAGCCAAGCGGTATTGTTCTAATTGCCTAGCAGTCACGTGCACACTAGTATAAAAAGGCACTGCACACAGTCGCTGAGAGGGCTAACCCCAGGGTCATATTCTTCCCATCCAGTCCCTGCTCTGCCACTTCCAGGTTACGTGAACCAGGAAACCCACCCTCTCTGCTCCCATCTGTCACATGGACATGACAACAACAAGGCAAACTGGTGGGACTGTCGGGCAAGTTAAATGCACTGATACACGCACGGTGCTAAGAGCAGCGCCCAACACGCACGCCGTAGTCAGCACTCTCGGGGCGTTTGCTATTATCAGTAGAAACACAGTTTCCTTCCCGAGAGCCTGTACTGAGGGGACAGAGAGAGACCTCAATGCAGTGATGGGGGAAGGCGCTGGGGAGGAAGCGGCTTGCGTGTGGCAGGTGCAGGTGGGAAGCCCAGCAGGAGCACACCTGGCCTCCCCCGGCGTGGTGGCACCGCTTGGATGCACCACCCCTTCAGCGACCCACCCTTCCACCATTAGAAGGCATCTAGAACATTCTTCTTTTGAGACCTTGGCGTGGAGGGTGTTTCCTGGGGTGGGGTAGAGGGAGGCCACCATGAGGTTGGTCGAGTCCAACGGAATTTGGCGGGAAAGCCGTCTGCTTCCGCAGGGAGCAGGTTCCCAGCGCTAAGGGAAAAATCTCTCCCCAATCTGCAACCTCCACGGCTCACAGGGCGGGAAGAGACTGGCGTTGCCGTGCCGTCACTGGGGAGGGGCCGGGAAGTTGCTCTGTGGCCGTGGCAGAGACGGGCCAGCATGGCGGACCCAGAACTAGGGGACATGCCCCCGCACTGTCCTCGGTGTGGCGGGGAAGCCAGGCCTGAGGAGGAACGGAACGCCCGTCTTCCCCGCCTGCAGCTCCTGTGAGCAGGCTCTCGCACAGAACGGCGTTTGCAAGCGGAGTGGGGCGTGAGCACGAGGAACGGGAACCGGCGCCGTCTGCGAAGAGACACTGCCCGAGGACGCTGACGGCATGTTCCCTGCTGCCTCCCGAGCCGCCACTCCCGCCAGGTGAGACGCGCACAGGCGAGGGGCTGGCACCTGGCATCTTGGACCAGCCCCAGCCCCCAGAGTCCACGCCGGGCGCCGTTGCCGCCCCGGCCACTGCACCTCTGAGTGCGCCTGGAGGAGCCACACAGCACTGCCACGCGTGGCTCACGGTCTTCCTTCTCCTTGTCTCTAAGCCTCAAAATCTTCACCAAGACAGCAGTCTTGGCGTTTCCCCCTGAAGGTCTACGCTAACAGTGCCGTGCTCTCAACTGCGTGCCACTTTCCCAGTGAGCTCTACGGGCCCGGGCAGTGACAGTCTACGGGGCACCTGGAAAAGCATCTTCATGCTCAGAGCTCTGAAAGCGTGGCTGTGGCGGGCAGCCAGGGCCGCGCGCGGGTGGGGCGGGCGCCCTGCGCGTCCACAGCGGGCACATGACCGAGGACAGCCACAGGACTGGTGAGCGTTCTCGGCGTGCCAGCCACCCTGGAAGGGCCTTTTGCGCATCTCCTCCTGTGGTTCTCACACGGCTGTGTATGATGTGGACTGTCATCACACTCTCTCCTTGACAAGTGAGTAAATTGAGGCAGTGAGAGGCCTAGGACCTTGCCCAGCAAGTGGGTGTTGGAGTTGGGATCTGAGGCAGGGCCCGCAGCCCTGCCCTGACCCCGTGGCGCTGCCCCTGGCTCTGTGGCACACAGTGGCTTACACAGCCTGTCATCAACCGGCCACCTGTCATTCTCCCTCCTCCACTGCTCCTGCTGCTTTCTCGGGAGGGAGGACGCACCTCCAGCAAGGGCCGCACGATGTGTGCCAAAACCCGCTCTGCCGTCACCCGGGGCGGCCGAGGCAGGGCGCGGACCAGACACCCTCCCTCCAAACCCACCTCCGAGCCGGCCGGCACTCTCATTCGGAGAACACTCGGTAGCTGAAGTTGTTGGACCTGATTCTGAAGCTGTATTTTCCATTCATTCTCTGGTAGCGCACGATCAGAAGGGCGGCTGCCACTGCCACCAGGATGAGGACGGCCACCGCAATGAGGACGACGTAGCCGGCGCCCAGGCCTGGCTCTGCACCCGGAGACTCCCCTGGAGGGTGGACAGGCACAAGGTGAGAGTCTGGCCAGACCAGGAGGAACGGGAACAGAGCAGGCTCTCCACCTGCTATCCGGATGTGGCTGGCCCCAAGTACCGGGAAGTGAGGCCCACGTGTGTGCCCATGTCCCTGAGGGTTACCAGAGATGACAGGGCAGGTGTGTGCCTGTGTACCTGTGGGGTACCAGAAATGACAGGGCAGGTGTGTGCCCATGTACCTGAGGGTTACCAGAGATGACAGGGCAGGTGTGTGCCCAGGTACCTGTGGGGTACCAGAAATGACAGGGCAGGTGTGTGCCCGTGTACCTGTGGGTTACCAGAGATGACAGGCAGGTGTGTGCTCATGTACCTGAGGGTTACCAGAGATGACAGGGCAGGTGTGTGCCTGTGTACCTGTGGGGTACCAGAAATGACAGGGCAGGTGTGTGCCCATGTACCTGAGGGTTACCAGAGATGACAGGGCAGGTGTGTGCCCAGGTACCTGTGGGGTACCAGAAATGACAGGGCAGGTGTGTGCCCAGGTACCTGTGGGGTACCAGAAATGACAGGGCAGGTGTGTGCCCAGGTACCTATGGGTTACCAGAAATGACAGGGCAGGTGTGTGCCCGTGTACCTGTGGGGTATCAGAGATGACAGGCAGGTGTGTGCCCGTGTACCTGTGGGGTATCAGAGATGACAGGGCAGGTGTCCAAAGCCCAGGAGAGCACAGCAGTGAAGACAGCTCAGCCTGCCCAGCATCCTGGGACAAGCCTTGGCCAAGAGGGGTCATTCCACCTGGCTGTGTCCTGCTGACCTGGGACACAGCTGGGGTATGAGCCAGAGCAAAAGTGTCCGGTCCATGACCTGAAGTACCCGTGGCCCCACACACCTTATTTTCTTGTTAGGAGGCCTGGTTCAGAGTAACTGAAGATCACTTACGGCTCACAGGCCCAGGCTGGCGTGGTTCTCTGTTTGGGTCACTGGGGACCATGTGCTTGGCTGATGAGTGGGTGGTCAGGAGCACCCCAAAGGGACCACCAGCCCACTGTGGCTCCAGCTGACCTTCAGGTGTTGGTTCTCCGGGTTTTAAGCAGTGCCCAGTCTCCTGGCTTGGAGCCACTAGTTAGCATGTCGCCTGGCTGGGTTACGTATGAACGACCACCCTTGCCGGGGGCAGACAATCTCAGGCTGTTCCTGCTGAGAGGCCCCCCAGGGTGGTTCCCACACAAAAGTTCAGAGGGGCTGAGAGCCACCTTGCTCCTGGGGCCCACCTGAATTCTCAGCAAGGCAAGGCACAGTACTTTGTCCCTGGTTACGTTAGTTTCTTGATTCACACTCATGATGTCAATCAAAAATCTAGTCATAGTTTATTAAAATCTGGGGCACCTGAGCCGGCACCCCAGGAGCTGAAGGGACCAGCAGCGGGAGGGGCCGCTCTGATTGCACCGTCTGCAGCCAAAATCAGCCACAAGCACCATCCCAGCAGGTTCAGGGGCAGCTAGAAATCTACACTGACGCCTAATTATTTTGTACCCGAGAGCCAGTTCACTGTTTCTCCAAGTTCAGCGTTTGGCCTTTTCTGTTCCTGGCGCACCAGTCTTCCCGCCTGCCTGGTGTGGTTCCTCTTTGGTTTTCCTCCCCGAGGTATGTCTTCTAGAACTCTCTCTCTCTCAACTTCCCTGCTCACATCCCACGACATCATCTTCCCATCATCCCTCCAGCAAGCAGCAGGTGGGGTTCTGGCAGAGAGCAGACCTGGGACACCCTAAAGGGTGGCCTTAGATCCTGAGCACACCAGTTTCCCCGGGTTCCACATTTTTGAGCCGGCAGTACGGAGGTGTTGTAAGGAGACAAAAGTCAGCAGCAGTCGTGCTCCAAAACGGCTGAAACTAGGGTTGAAGACCCTCCTTAGCTTGAAGCTCTAATGGGCACAGCCTGAGTTGGGGGAGAAATTCCTGGTTTTCACAGGCTCCACCTGTGCCCTCCCAGGGCCTCCAGTAGAGCATGGCTCAGGGCTGACGTGGTCCAGAGGAAAGGCCAGGAGGGCAGGGCCACTTGCCAGGTGCAGGCATGTTCTGGAGGCTAAAAGGTCACTTGAGCCTGCAATGTAGAAGATCTAGACCCGGCAGTGGGAGAGCAGAGCGCATTCCAGAAAGAATTTCTCATCCCCAATATCAAAAAATCCCAGCCTGTCTCTGCCTTAATTGTTACCCTGGGCCCCAGGTAGCAGATGTTAATTACTGGTTCTAATTCTGGGAGGTTTGGGGAGCCCTGGGCTCCTACTGGTCTCTGTCTTCTGCATGTAGCCCGGCCAGTTGCAGGGCAGCCTCCCACCCCTGCTCCAGCTTGGGCCCTTCCTCCAGCCGAGACTTAGCCTGCTGTTTCATTCCATGCATTTTATTTCCCTTTTATTGCTCTTCGGTCTGAAAAACCCCATAGGCTACTTCAGCCAGGTGAGATACTGGCAAGGTTGAGCCACTTTCCGATTTTTGTGACTTTTGCTCGGTACCAAGTACTTTGACCAATAAAGGTCATAAGTTTTCAGGGTTCTCCAGGTCTACAACTGTGTGCTTCTAAAATTCTTTCTAGAAAGGCTAATGGAGTCTCAACTGCCTCCTGTCTTATTTCTATGAATCCACATTAGTCCAGAAGGTTGTCTGTTTTCATTTGATTCCCTTGTGGGGACCTGCCATAACGGAAGTTGCCCTGCTGGGAACAGACCAAACTGGGCACCTTGGCAGGTACTGGAGGGACAGGCCACGTCCCCAGGTGCCCTCAGAGAAGGAGGAGAGTAAGTCAAAGACTTAATTTAGGCAAAGAAGTTATGAAGACTTGCTATTCTGAGTAATGTAACACCTTTTCTAAGTTATGTAACTATAATAGAAGTTTAGAACACATCTGCATAAAGATGTCAATTAATTAGGTCTCTCTAAAATACCAACATCCCAAAGTAAAATTTGTTGACATGACATCATCTATTATTAGGGAGTACTGAATAAACCTTCAACATCAATCCTTGGACCTTCAAATAATGATCAAGATGAGGCTATTTTAAAAACCATATAAATGGTCTCAAAATATTTGATCAAAGCAGAATCACAGGTCATTGTAAAATAATAGCAATTCATTTAACCAAGAGTGATGATCAAGACTTCAAAGGCAACACAGAAAGGTAGATGCGTATAAAAACCTTAACTTTTTAAAGCTCAGTTTTCCCAAGTAATCAAAAACCTAATAAGAGCATAGGAATTATCTTGATAAAACAAAAATCTTTGTTTCTTAGGCCAGTTACCAAAAGGTAAAGAAAAACATTCTTCACTTGAATTAATCAGACATAAGAACAGTGTGTGGACATTATGAAAGGAGCAAGAAACTAGAAGACTAGGACCTTGAACAGAGGAAAGGTGACTCTAAACCACCTTATAATTTTTAGGAAAACTTCATTAATAATCATTTATATCATTTGCATTCACCTAATTTAATAGTTTAGATTACTTACGAAAACTCAAATGTCAGACAAATCAAGTTATTTTCCTATTAACTCTTTTGGTAGGTTTATACAATGAATGTGAATAATTGTGTCTTTAACAAAATCATTCAATGCCTATACAAATTCAATATCTAAACACCTTCATAAATAAAATTGGGGGAAAGAATTTCAAAACACAGACCAAGAAACAATCACAAAATACAGGTGTAATTACTACTTTTAAACCTAAAACCTACCAAGAAAGCAAACATAAGCATTCAAGTAAGCTCAGAACATTTTCCAACTTATGTGTAGCAAGACCAAAGGCATACCTGAAGCCTCTGCTTTGATTTAAGCTCTTGTGACTACAGCTCCCAAGGCAGCTCTAAATCCCTAACAGCATTGTTAATATCAGATGATAGAGAGCTTATCTACCAAAGATTACTAAATGCATGTGCACTGAAACAGCATTTGGGCTTATTTACTTAACTTATGAGTGCTCTTTCATAAGCCAAGTTGGTACCATGTAGACATAACATTAGACACATGCACATGCACACAAAGTTTCAATAGCTTCTATCTCGGAACACCAGGCATGAGACCCGCTGCAGTTCCACATAACCCTATATACATTATGTCTCCATCCCTCTCTTTCCCTTTCCAACCGTGAGCATCTCTGCATGTCAACCAGGTTGCCTCCATGGATGAGATGTCTATCAATCTCCTAGGCCTCAGGACAGAGATGTCTTCTAACCTTCCAGATCTTAGGACAGAGATGTCTTCTAATCTTCCAGACCTTAAGACAGGGGGGTCATTTAAACTCTCAGACCTTAGAACAAGGCACAAGAGAAAATACCACTGAAGGTATCTTTCAACCTCCTAGACCTTGGGCTGTGAACTTAGCAACAGCAAATTCAAAGCAAGCAGGAAAGAAAAGAGGGACAGAGAACTTAGCAGGCCCTACATTGACATAACACACACCAACCCAGATAAACACCCAGTATAAAGAGAGGCTTCCAACAAACCGCACTCCCCACCACCCACCAAGTCCTGGGCATGCCAACTCAAGACAGATCAATTTCCACTCTCACACATGGGAGCTCCCCTCGGAACCCTCCAATCTGAGAGGGCACCTCTGCCTGGGTGGCACCTGCAAGGGTCACTCGCCCACCCAGACCCACAGCCGAAATTCAGAGATCCAGTCCTCCCAGGCAATCGGGGATGCACGTGAAGCTGGTGATGACGCCGAGCCGGTGGGAGAAACCGAAAGCCACCTCTGGCAGAAACACCGCGGGCAGCGCCGGGAGGCCTGAGGGATTCCCCCCACTGTGCCCACACCAAGCCACCAGCAGCACAACCCCGGATGAGCCCCCCAAATTGTTACCAAAGCCCAAAAGGGGTCCGGCCTAGGTCCCTTCACTCTCCGCACAAAGAGCCAATGATTGAGACAACGAGGACCGCCAAGGGAGAAAGGAAATTTAATGCAAAAGGCGTCTGTCGCGGGAAGGGGGGGAACAGTCTCAAATCGTCTCCCCGAGTGGCTGGGGGTGCGAGGGCTTCGATAGCGGGTTGTGGGATGAATGGGGTCTGCAACAACTTCAGGAGAACTTCAGAGGGTCCTGTGGCCAGTGTCTGAGATGAAAGGTGTCTTAATTATTGAGCTAAAAGCAGGGGTCGCTGGGGTCTGGCGTCACAGGGTCTGCAGGGGCTGACTGGAGAGCCAGCCGTGGATGAGGACGGTGAGCCCGGGCGGGGCCGGTTAGGTCTGCTCGCTAGGCTTGACTGGTAAAGTCTGAGGGAACAAAAGCAGACAAAAACATACGCTGGGGAAAAGAATCCCTTTTCAATAAACGGTGCTGGAAAAACTAGATAGCCACCTGTAGAAGGCTGAAGCAGGACCCACACCTTTCACCTCTCACCTCAAAACTCACTCACCTGGATAACAGGCTTAAACCTAAGGTATGAAACTATTAGAACTCTAGAGGAAAACGTTGGAAACACTCTCCTAGACATCGGCCTAGGCAAAGAGTTTATGAAGAAGTCATCACAGCAGAAACAAAAATAAATAAATGGGACATGATCAAACTAAAAAGCTTCTGCACAGCCAAAGAAATAGCCATGAAAGTAAACAGACAACCTACAGAATGGGAGAAAATTTTCGCATCCTACACATCTGATGAGGGGCTGATAACTAGAATCTACTTATAACTCATGAAAATCAGCAAGAAAAAAATCAAACAACCCTATCAAAAAATGGGCAAAAGGACATGAACAGAAACTTTTCTAAAGAAGACAGAATAATGGCTAACAAACATATGAAAAAATTTTCAACATCTCTAATCATCAGGGAAATGCAAATCAAAACTACACTGAGATATCACTTATTTCCAGTAAGAATGGCCTTTATCAAAAAGTCCCATAACAATAAATGCTGGCGTGGATGAGGAGAGAGAGGAACACTCCTACACTGCTGGTGGGACTGCAAACTAGTTCAACCTCTGTGGAAAGCAATATGGAGATACCTTAAAGCGATACAAGTGAATCTACCATTTGATCCAGCAATCCTATTACTGGGCATCTACCCAAAAGATCCAATGACACTCTACAAAAAATACACCTGCACTCGAATGTTTATAGCAGCACAATTCACAATTGCAAAGCTGTGGAAACAACCCAAGTGCCCATCAATTCATGAATGGATTAATAAAATGTGGTATATGTATACCATGGAGTACTAATCAGCTCTAAGAAACAATGGTGATATAGCACCTCTTGTATTTTCCTGGGTAGAGCTGGAACCCATTCTACTAAGTGAAGTATCCCAAGAATGGAAAAACAAGCACCACATGTACTCACCAGCAAATTGGTATTAACTGAGCAGCACCTAAGTGGACACATAGGAACTACAGTAATTGGGTATTGGGCGGATGGGAGGGGGAGGAGGGGATGGGTATATACATACATAAGGAGTGAGATGTGCACCGTCTGGGGGATGGTCACGCTTGAAGCGCTGACCTGGGGTGGGGGAGGGGGAGCATAGGCATTATTTGAATAAATTTGTACCCCCATAATATGCTGAAATAAAAAGAAAAAAAGCTGACCTCAGTCATTGTTCTGGACCCTCCCTGCAGGGGCATTTGAGCACTCCACAGACCCAAGCCTCAGACCCTCTACCCTCTGATGAGTGTGACGCAGGGTCGTTCAGTGGAGCAGCCATCACGGAGATTTCCAGAAGCTCAGCGCGAGACTGCCGGTGCTGACATGTCACGTGTCGGCAGCACACGCTCAGGGAGGTGCCCGGACTGCAGTGCACACTATCACATGTTCAGTTGGGTTTCCCCAAAAAAGATGTGCTGAAATTCTAACCCCCGGGGTGTGGCCTTATCTGGAAACAGAATGGTGTGGATACGATTCATGCAGATGATGCCGAACTGAAGCCGCCGGGCCCAGCGCAGTGTGGCCGGCGTCCTGCGGAGAGACGGCTGTGCGAACACAGAGACACGCAGGGAGAGGCCAAGTGAAGACAGAGGCAGAGGCTGGACACCAAAGATCGGCCACGACCCGCAGAGCCTGGCAGGAGGCGGGGGCGGGGGGGAGGGTCCTCCCTGCAGCGTTCAGGGGACCAGGGTGCCACCGATACCTTCATTTGGGACCTCTGGCCTCCAGCATGGTGAGAAGATAAATCTTTGTTGTTTTAGGCCAGCCAGATTGTGTCCTGGGCTGTCCTGGCAGCCCAGGACACCGCACACCTGGTGCGAGGGCTCAAAGCAAAGTCAGCCCAGCCCGTTGGGGACAGAGGTGACGGTTATAAGCAGGTGGCACCTGCACTAGAGACCCCCGGTCCAGGTGCAGCTGCGTGAGCATACGCCTCCCACCCCCACCCCCAGATCTCCGAATTGTCCTCATCTCTTCCCTAGCGTGGAAGGGACGGCGATGGTGGGGACAGAGTGTGGGTGCACAGGGCTGGGCAGGGGCCAGGTCCTCCTGAAGGGGCCTGTCTGCCAGCCTCTTCCCGCCCTGCCGTCCCCAGCAGTGTCTCTGTTAATATGCTACAAAAGCCCCTGTTAATATGCTAGCGAAGCCCCGCCTACTGGGAGGTTCCGCGTGTGAACGATCTTTCCGTGTGTTTGCATGACGGCACGGATCCAGCAGCAGCCACGGCACAGTGAGAAAGAATGATGAGCAAACGAATGATTCAGTCCTCGTCCTTGAGCCTGACCAGTCACGCCTTAGCACCCTGGCGTCCCCTGCACTGGTTATGCCGGCGTGGCCCTTGCTGGTTGCAAAGGACAACTGACACACACCCGGTGACGCCTACGGGGCAGGCCTGTGTGAAGCGGGAATTACCACTGTCCCCAACTCATATACGAGGCAAACGGGGCGCAATTCACACGGAGCATGCCCAAAGTCGCACGATCACTATGAAGTGTCAGAGCCAGGTTTGGAGTCCAGGGAGCCTAGTTCCAGCCCCACGCATCTTAGCCTCGCAAGGACTCTTATTTGCTGTGACCATGTTGGGCACTCACAGGGACACCATGAGGCAGGCAGGGGACATTGCAAAGGAACAGGGGAGCTGCTGACACATACCGTGCTTCCCTGAAAATAAGACAGGGTCGTATATTTATTTTTCCTCAGGAAGACACCCTAGGGCTTATTTTCAGGGGATGTGTTATTTTTTTTAAGTATGGTACAACTATCTACATTTATTCAAATATAGTTAAGTCGTCTTCTTCTGGAACATCACCATAACTCTCTAAAGCCCGAATTCCATCCTGAATTTGTTGCAATTCTATTTCCTTTAGAACCATCGGCCCCAATCTCTCATGTTGAGCAGTAGAGCTCTCACGGGTCGGATGAGAAGGGCTGCTCGTCTTCTTTCCCACTCCGCGACGACATGCACGGGTTGTGCAGACGTGCTGCGTAGCCACGCCCAGCACTAGGTCTTATTTTCAGGGTAGGGCTTCTATTGCACACTTGCTTAGACATCCTGCTAGGGCTTATTTTATGGGTAGGTCTTATTTTCGGGGAAACACGGTAGTAGGTGGAGGACTATGGCAGTGTCCGTCTGAATACCTTAAGCAATTTCCTTCAAACCAATACTTTTTCCAAAGCAATTGGATGGATCATATAGAAAATGAAATGTTTTCCTGGAAAATCAATTCTGAGTTTTGGAAACACATGCAACATAATTGGCTGGTGGAAGTTTTCTACTGAAGGGGGAACAGAAATGCCATTTTTCGGCATCTTCTGAATAAAACAGCTTTTCCGTGCACCCGCACACACACGCATGCCCAGAACTTGACACTGCCTGGTTAGGGCTTCAGGTGCCTCCTCTTAAGAACCCACTCGATGTGTTTATGCAGTGTCAGAAAAGCTCACTGGCTTCATGTTACGCTGCTCAAAGCATTGCATTAAACTTGCACTTGAGCTGTCAAAGCCTCAGTCTTCTCATCTGCAACATGGGATAATAACGGGCACATCACATCCTGCACGTAAAGAACTTAGCACACACTGGCACGTACGGCTCTCGACAAATACTGGCTACCGTCATTGCCACTATTACAAGTCATTTAAGAAAATCTCACGTATCACATTTCAAAGCACGTAACTGCTTTTTGGTTCACGCGACGGTGAAATGGCATCGGCTGCATCGTTTCTTTTTGTTGTCTAGACCAAGTCATCAACTCACCTTCGGACCGGAAGAGGGGTCCCCAGGATGTCTGGTGTGTGGCAGAGCTGTCACTGCTTTTCAGGAGTCGAAAATCACTGCAATCCTGTTTGTTTAAAGGAGAGAAAGTTCAAATTAGGCGAACACTGTTCACGGAAGAGTAACTCACGATGGGGATGATAAGCTGAGTCACACCCATGCATCCTGCTAGAGTATGGAGTCACCGGGCGGATAAGGTTAGACAGGGGAGCGCAGACCTGGCGGGGCCGGCGGGCAGCGGGGGCTCCGCCCAGTGGATGGTGCTCAGTGCAACGGAAGGGAGGCCTGGGCATGGGGGGTACTGGAGGAAGCGGGGTACCCGAGAGCAGCAAGCTGGAGAAAGGCCTTTATATCCTCAGGGACCATGTCGTGGTCCCAGCTCTGAGTCCCCCTGCATTCTCCAGAGGCTACTGCAGCCTAGAGCTCCTCCTGATGCCTTTGCCGTACAGAAGAGGCTCCCTGGCTCGGTGACACTGTGGAATCTGCTACTGTGCACCTGTGATGGGTGCAGCCTGTCCTCCAAAACCACACCCAAGTCCTAACCCCCAGTACCTGTGCATGTGACCTTATTTAAAAACTGGGCCTTTACAGATGTCAGGTTAAGATGAGGTTATTAGAGTGGGCTCTGACCCAACATGGCTGGTATCTTCATAAACAGGGGACCTTTGGACACAGCGCAGGCATGCGCTGAGAGAGGACAATGCCAAGAGACAGGGAGAATGCCACCTACACCTGCGGCCGCCGGAAGCTAAAAGAGAAGCCTGGGACAGAGCCTTCCCTCATACCCCTTTGGACCCCAGTCCAAGACACTGTGACCTTGGACTTCCATCCTCCAGAATATGAGACGAGTGGGGGCTGTGTGAGCCACTTGGTGTGTGGCACTTTGTCACAGCAGCCCTAGAAAACTCATACGGCCTCCAGCCTACAGGGACGTGGAGAGAAACACTGTATGCCGAGACCCTGGGCCAGCGACCGATTAGAGCCCCTCCCTGCAGAGGCGGCCGCGGCCGCCGAGTGTCTTAGGGTTTCTGAAGATCTGAGGGAGCCAGGCACAGACTCCAGGGCACCCCTCAGCCCACTGGCATTGGGGCCCTCCGCCCCCTCCGTCCATTCCGCTCAGGAAGACCTATGGAGTGAGCAAAAGGGACACCAACAGAATCGGCCGTCGTTGTGTTTCTTCCGTCCCCCAGGGCCTGCCCACGCTCCGAGGCGGGTCACCTGGGGAAACTTCGGGGTTCAGTGTCACCCTCTCGGATGAGCTCAGGAACGAGCACATCTTCCAAAGGGGAGAGAAACTCCAGTCGCTGAACAAAAGGCCGGTAGAGGACGCTGCGCTGGCCTCTGGCTCAGACAACATGTGACGGCACGTGTGGTCACCTCACATGCTTGTCTGTGGCACAAGGGACAGCTCTCCAACCTCAGGACCACAAAGCAGGTTTCGATCCAAAGGTCTTAGGAAACGAGAATGCAAAATTATTCCTGACCCCTACAGGAATGTTGAACTTAGGGAAGGAAAAGACCTTGTTAAATATGGCAGCGGCTGATGCTTGGTGTGTTCCGTCAACGTTGCTAAAAATCACATTAAACTGAAATAGCATTTTTCCACCTAAACATCGATAAACCTCCTGAGGAGAGGCACCACGAGGGGCAGCGCTGACTCAACAGGCAGCGAATGTCACAGCCTCAAGAAGCACCTGGTTTAGCCATCGCTGAATCCGAAACGCCCCACAAGTCACACCGGTTCTCCACCCAGGGGCTGCCTGCCCTGGAATGTCTCAGAGGCCGAGGCTGCAGGGCACGGCGACTCCTCCCAGAAGTCACCCCCAGAGCCACGCAAGCCTCGGCTTTCATTGTCAGGGGGACTTTCCCTGTGCCGATAAGGGACGGGAATCCATCCGGTGGTAAGTTGAGGATGGGAGGCACTTACTATTTTGCAGGTGGCCCCCGGGGACTCCATGTGGGAAGTTTAGGATGCAAGGCACTTACTATTTTGCAGGTGGCCCCCGGGGACTCCATGCGGGAAGTTTAGGACGCAAGGCACTTACTATTTTGCAGGTGGCCCCCGGGGACTCCATGCAGGAAGTTTAGGACGCAAGGCACTTACTATTTTGCAGGTGGCCCCCGGGGACTCCATGCAGATGCGCAGCTTGCAGTGCAGGTAGACGATGGAGTTGTTGATGAAGGAAAAGATTTTCAGCTTGAACTGGGCCCTGTTGGAGTTGCCGTTCTCGATGACGCTGGTGTACGTGTTGGGAACAGGGCAGCTGGGAAGGGGGACGGGCTCCTTAGCTGTATATAGGCGGCCCTGCTGTCCTCGTGCTCGGACGAGTTTGCTCACAACTGCGTCTGAGGACGCTCGAGCATCCCACGGGCTCCGTGGCCGTCGGGGGACCGGCCACCTCACCAGTCCCCCCAAAACCCAGGTCCCCTCCACTGCCGGCCCGGAAATCCCACGGCGCCCAGAGCAGGCGCCACGGCCAGGTGAGGGGTGCCGCCCGAGCCCCACCTGTTGTTGATGAATCCGAAGGTGACCGGGTCCCTGGCGTTGCTGGAGGGGGTGGCCCAGCACTCCGTCAGGACCACCTTGAGGCCGCTCTTCTGTCTGTAGAGCCCCACTTCGATCTTGACGTCGTCGCTGGCAGACACGCTGTAATTTTGAGGTATGGGAGAGTCTCCAATAAATAACTGCATTTCCGTGACGAAACTTCCGGCGCCGTGCAGGTCCTCGATGATGGTGTAGACCCTGCAAGGGGAGCGGCGTTCAGGAGGCTTGTTTCTCCCATCCCTCTCGTTCCTGTCCCTCCCCCAAAAGCTCCTCCAAGGGAGCGCGGACATGCAGGAAGACCACCTAAGTGGGACATCCCTCTCGTTCCTGTCCCTCCCCCAAAAGCTCCTCCAAGGGAGCGCGGATGTGCAGGAAGACCACCTAAATGGGACATCCCTCTCGTTCCTGTCCCTCCCCCAAAAGCTCCTCCAAGGGAGCGCGGATGTGCAGGAAGACCACCTAAGTGGGAGCACGCAGGGGCTACTGGTTCCAGCTTGCAGCATGGTGGGGTGGCCTCCCCCACTGTGCTGGCGCAGGTGAGAGGACCTGCGGGGCACTAAGGGCACCTGCTCAGGTGTGCCCCGGAGGAGGCGTGGCCCGGGGCCTGGGGACACCCTATGGGATTGGCGAGGGGAGTATATTTAGCTTTCTCTGCTGGGTCCTGAGTTGGAAGCGGGGACAGAAATTAGGGAGTGACAATTATTAATCAAGTTCCGGTCACTGCCCATCTGTGTGTTCCGCCTCAAAGAAGGGTTCGCAAGTGGTTGAAACCCCAAAGAACCCCCAAAGTAGCACTGCCCGAGAGGAGCCGGGCTGGGGAGAGGGGCCACCTGTCCACTTACCCCCACTGTGGGGTGTAGCCCGAGGACGCCAGCAGGTCGTTCTGGAAGGCACAGCGGATGGGGCTGAGGATCTTCAGCGAGTGCATGACCACCTCCGGGGACTGGTCGTTCCGCAGCGTGGTCCTCACCACCGTGCTCGTCATGTTCTGAGCACAGACGGGGCCTGAGTGGGCTCCCGGCCCCAGCAGGCCCCGCGCCCAGCTGTGGACCCCGCTCTAGGTGCAGGGGGAGGGGTGGGGAGACTCTTTGATAAGCCTTTTTCCTAAAGTGCTGAACCCTGGCCATTTTTCCCTAACATAAACTGCCAAGGGGTGCGCGAGGTCTGGCTTCTGCTCCTGGCCCATGCCCTGGTCACTGAGAGGAGGCAGCACCTGGAACCGGGTGTATTCCGTGGTTTCTGCACAAACACCTCTCTGGGGAAGCTTAATTCTAACAAGCATCCAAAGCCAGCAAGAGCGCCTGTGGGTTCCAGGGCTTGGACGGCTCGAAAGAGACAAATTTCCCTTTTCTGCCTCCCTGCCCCAGACCCCTCGGGTCTCATTGTCAGGCCAGGTGTCAGTCCCGCTCAGATAAACAAGGAAGGGGTGATGGCTGCGGGCTCCATCTGGGGCCCCCACCCCGAGGGAGGGCCTGACTCCCCCTGGGACGGCGCCCTGAGCACCCTGGGCAGAGACTGTCCTGTTCCGAGCGTCTCGGTGCAGGGGGACTGTGGGGACCGTGCCCAAGCACAGCTCTGGCTCACACAGACCCTGGGTAGGAGCTGTGCTGCCCACTGACGCTGCCACTCCCCTCTGGAACAGCCCTGGCTAACCCTGTCTGTCTCTCCCCCAGAGCGTCTTGGGAATCTTCAGGGAAGTGAAGCAAACGTGGACAGTTGTTTCTAAGTTGTGTGAGTTTAAGGGGTGGCACGGAGAAGACTTGGGGGTTGCTCCTTCAACCCAGGGACCCGTCTGAGGGTCCAAGACCTCCCAAGGAAAGTGGACTCTACTCTGCAGTGCACGCACCTGCTCTGCCACGGCCTCCGGCGCCCCCACGTTGACCCACCACATCCTGACCCACCCCTCGGAGCTGCCTTCCGTGCCCCATCTCCTGCCTGCGCCCCTCCCCAGCCTCTAGGGCCCTCTCTGGGGTGGGCTTCTTTCCTCAGCCCCGGGGCCCATGGGTCCCTGACTGCGCCCATGCTCAGGACGAGCCACATTCCCACCCATCACCCATCAGCCTCCAGGCGCAGCCTCCCTGTGCTGTGGCTCTGGCTTGCGTCTTCATGCTTTGCGCCAACTCAGCGAAGGCCCACCTGTCCCACCTGTTCCACCTGTCCCACCTGTCCCCCCAACCCACCTGTCCCAATTATCCCACCTGTCCCACCTGTTCCACCTGTCCCACCTGTCCCACCTATCCCCCCTGACCCACCTGTCCCACCTGTTCCACCTGCCCCACCTGTCCCCCCGACCCACCTGTCCCCCGACTCACCTGTCCCACCTGTCCCACCTGACCCACCTGTCCCACCTGTTCCAATTGTTCCACCTGTCCCACCTGTCCCACCTATCCCACCTGTCCCACCCGACCCACCTGTCCCACCTGACCCACCTGTCCCACCTGTCCCACCTATCCCACCTATCCCACCTGTCCCACCTGTCCCTCCGAGTGAGTGTGTCCAGAGTCCACCCAGAAGAGGCAGAGCCACAGGGCACAGGGCACAGGGCCAGCTCCCACTGGCAGAGCCAACTTTGAACCTGCCCCCTGTAGACCTTGCTGAGCTATTAGGGGACCAAATGTCATTGCGCACAGACCACCCAGCCCCAGCTGGTCCGCAGAGGGTTTGGGGTGCAGCACCCTTCCCCACCCGTTTCTCCAGAATGCAGGGCCTTGCTTGCTCACAGGCCCTCAGGGATACAGGTGCAGCCCCCTGAGTCCCTGCCAGCCGCCAGGGGTGGCATCTCTGTCCGGCGTCCTGGGGGAGGACAGCCTTCCTGCCCAGCCCCCTGGCCAGGCACTGCTCTCTGCCAGCCATCCCCACAGTCCCATTTTTATCACACACCCCACACCCAGACCCTTCCAGCCGCCCATCTGGCCCGAGCCTCTGGGGCAGACCCCACGTCTGAGCTCCCGGCCTCCCCAGTCTGGCCACCGCCAGCTTGTTAACCCAGGGCACACTCCTGGGTCTCTCCACTCGCCCCACAGGACCACTTTGGCCCCTTTTCTAGGCGGGCCTCTCCCCAGCCCCGTCTGCAGCCGACACACCAGCTCCCCAGCACGGCCCGCTGCCCCGCCCCCAGCCGCAGCCCCCCAGGCCGAGCGGTCCAGGCTGTGGCCTCGGCACAGAATGGAGCCCTGGGCACTGCCAGGTCAGCACTGCGTCTCCACGTCCTGCCCCAGGCCAGCACACTTCTCCAGGGGATGGCCACTCGGAGGCTGCTTCTGCCCCGCCGGGGCCGGGCCCTGGGCTGGACTCGTGGAAGGGGCTGGTTTTCTCCTCCTCCTGCCACCAGCCCAGCAGGGCCCTGGAATACAGCCCTTGTGCTTGGGGTGGCCAAGCTGGGCAGGTACTGAGGGCACACGCAGGAGCGTTCATTGTGACCCAGGCCTCTCTACCTGTCTGTGCAGGGGGGATATTTTAAACCTGACTCTGAGGCCTGCCCCAGGCCCTCTGCAACGGATTCTGGTAGGGTGGGGCTCACAGCCCCGGACAGATGTCAGGATGCAGCCGAGTCCCTGGCGGAGGACGCAGCCTATCCTGACCCCTGTGCTGGGTCCCCGGCTTAGCATCACAGATCTTGGGTGCAAGGTCCTGCCTGGTCCCCGGCCAGATGCGGACCCTCCCCGTATGGATACCCCTGCAGCCCAGAGCCCTGCGCCCCGGGCTCGTCCCCAGCCTGGCCGGCCCAGGCCTTACGCTTTGCACGACGGTCCCGCACTCGCCCCAGCCGGCCACCAGGAGCACGTGGGTGCTGTTGCTGTCGCTGACGTTGCAGGAGGGATGTCCCAGGTACAGCGAGGACTCGGGGATGGATTCCTGCTGCAAGAAGCGCTTCTGGATGGCGATGGCCACCTTCTCGATCTCGCAGAGCACCCTGACCGCCCCGGTCAGGTTCAGCCGCTGGGACAGGCCCCGGGGGGTGGGGCTGGCACCTTGCAGGAGCGCAGCCCCGGTCCCTGTGGGGGTTGGGGTCTGCTCTGGGCTGGGGGCCCAGGTTGCATTGCCAGGAGAGACACCTGCAAGGCATGAGGAGAGGAAAGCAAAGGGTGGGTCTGTGTTTGGGGCTGGCACGGAGGGGCAGGGGAATAGCAGGTAGGAGCTGCCCCGCACCCTGCAGCAGCCACGCCTGGGAACTGCGTGTTTGAGACACGGCTGCACACATGCACACACACGTTACATGTTTCCACCAGCCCAGGCAGCCCGGGTCGCCATGGGCTCTGAGGCCTGAGAAACCGAGCAGCCAATAGTGGGCACGTGCCAAGCCTGTGGGCATCGGCAGGTCGTCTGCCCTCAGAGGCCCTGAGCCTACCTCTAAGACGGGGTAACAACACCTCTCGGGACCCTGAACCCCAGCTCCCTGCTCCTGCTTGCACCCGATGCACGCTCAGGTCCAGTGTCTAGGACTGTGGTCCCCACCCCCGGGCCGCAGACCAATACTGGTCCGTGACCTGCTAGGGACCCGACCACAGAGCTCCACTGCCCACCGCTGCCCTGCAGGAAAATCGTCTCCCATGAAACTTGGAACGGAACAGGGGCCACACAGCGGCAGCAGGAGGTGAGCAGTGGGTGGGGGATCGAAGCTTCGTCTGTATTTACAGCCGCTCCCCGTCGCTGGCATCATGCCTGAGCTCCGCCTCCCCCACCCCCTTCACGAAACCTGTCCTTGGTGTCGAAAAGGTTGGGGACCGCTGGGAAGCACAAGGAGGCTCAGTAAAGGCTTCTGATGCACCTGCTGGTTCTCTAGGGCCCCTCCTGGGTCTCCAGGGAAGACAGGGCTCGGGGGCACCCCGCCCTCTCCTTGGGCGGCAGCTCTCCCCAGCAGGCCTGGCCTGCACCCTCTGTCATCTGCCGGCAGGGCCTGTCCCGCCCTCTGCAGCCCCGCCCAGCTCAGCCCGTCACTGAGACACGGCCCAAACCACTGGCGGCACCTGCCTCCCCGCTGCCTGCCTCCCACTCTGCACCCGTCTCCTGCAGGCTCCAGCACTGGAGACCGTGCCCTCCACCAGCTCTGTCCTCGCCCGGCACACACCCTGCCTTAGCCATCCCTTACGGCCAGCTCCAAGACACCACTTCCAGGAAGCCCTCCCAGATTGAAGCAACCTAGCCTCCTCTTTGCGTGCTGTGGCTACCTCAAGCAGAGCGTGTTCTACACTCCCCGTGACACTAGGCTCACTGGTATAAATGTCTGTCTCCCCAACTTGACTGCAGATCCCTGATGGCAGGGGTCATCTTGGGGCCATTGCCAAATCCACTAAGGCCCCCTTTACTGGGAAGCGTGCTGAGTGGAGACAGTGGCCAAGTAGAACCACTGCCCTCGTGTTGCTGTCACATGCGCTGTTTTGCACCATAGTCCTTTAGCACCTGCTGGTTCACACCTAGCGTATGTGCACGTTTCCTCACCACAGAGCAGAGCCAGCACCTGGAGATCACGCACCGTCCAGAAGCCCGCACGTGTGACAGAATGGGGAGGGACATGCACGCACAGACACATGCACACACATGTACACACACTGACACAGCACACACATGCACACACATAGCCAACACAGCACATGTACATGCATCACACCTGTCCACATGCATGTGCGCATGTGCACACACATACACAGCATACGTGCACACACATAACAGGGCACACACACCACATACATGCACACAGAGGAAACTTGCCCAGGACATGAAAATATGCTGACCTCATTCGGACAAGAAGCCCTTTGCCTGCCAATGAACAGATCGTGGGACGGTATTCCAGAAAAAGGACTGTGAGAATATTACCTTCACAGGGTCTTCCAGAATATTCCACATGGAAATCGGGGGCTCTGCCCTCACAGCGGCAAGTGAAGGACCCGAGGGTGTTCTGACAGGACGTCCCCGGCACACAGTCATCCTCATTCCTCTCACACTCGTCGTAATCTGCAGGACATTTAGGAAACAGAACAGGAAAGCATGCCTGGGGGCCTGCAGGTTGCTAGGGGGAGACGCAGTCAGGCGACTGCCACACGGGCTGGGGGAGGCGCATCTCAGGAGGCAAAACTGGAAACTCTCGGACGAGATCAGACCGCATGACAGCCACTGGTTCTGGGGAGTTCAGGAGACTTTCTGCTGTTGGGGCTGGGAGCCAGCAAGGGACGCCCTCAAGGGCTGTTCTGGAAGGAGGAGTCTGGCCCTGGGGCTGGGCGGGGGCGCTGGGCAGAGCAGGGTCACCCGTTCAGTCCCTCGAGTGACCAGGAGATAAGCAGCCCCTCCCCCACCACAATCCAGGCCTCGGGACCCAGGTAAGGGACCGACCCGGGCAGAAGGCCCTCAGGCCATGTTCGTTCCACCTGTGGCTATGGACAGGCACGCAGGTGTCCTGCAGGAGAGGGGTGGCGGCCAGAAAGCACCACAAAGAACACAAATCCCCCGCGTGGGCGCTGATCTACTTCCTTCTGGTCTTTTAACACACAGGCACCCTCTGACCAGGAGCGTGTCCTGCCGCGGCCACCGGCACTCTCCGCCTGGGCAGACCGCCGTCTCACCCCTGCACAGCAGCCCACGGCAGGGACAGGCCGTAACTTAGCTCCTCTGCTGGTGCTAAATGGCCGTGAGTCATTCCCAATTCTTTTGCTTTCAAAGTAACACTGAAGATGAACATCTTTGTATGTAAACCGTGGTCCAGGCCGAGATCTATTCCCTTAGTCTTAGAAGAGATATTCCCGACTCCAGATGAATGAACAGTTTTCAAGCTCTTGGCATATATTGCCAAACTGGTTTCCAGGCAGCGTGAGCAAATTCTATTTCTACCAGCAATGTATGCAAGCGCCTGCCTCACTACACTTTTGTCGGTATTAGTAATAGCAGAAAAAAAAGATCTTCTCTTTTTTGCAATTTGATGGGCAAAAAAGAACAATCACTTTAATGGGAATGTCTTTGATTATCACACCTTAGTCATTGTGTCTGCTTTTATGTACCATCCACTCTGGCCTTTTGTGCATTTAGCTACCAGGCTCCAGGTATTTATCATCCATTTGTAGGATCTCTCTGTATATTTAGGATACAAATTCCTTATCAAAATTTTAAAAGATTTTTTTGGTTTGTTGCTTGTTTTATAGTGGTGCCTTTACTTTGATTGACATAGGAGATTTATATTTTTATGTAGTCAGTATTTCACCCTGTTGCCCTGAAAATCTGGTTTTCCTTGGGAAATCCTTCTCATCTCAAAAATCACAAAGTATTAATCTTCAATTTTAAAGAAGTCTTCAATTTTTTGTGCATGTAACTATAAGCCATTGATCATTTATGCTCCAGTACGCCATGAGAAAAGAATCTAAATTGCCTTTTTCTCCCTGCTTTCCTCTTTCATTATTTCTGCTAGGATCTCCTTGGAAACGGTGCCCGGGAGAAAGTCTGGCTGCGGAGACCCGAAGACGTGTTCAACCCTTGCACCTTAAAAAAAAAAAATCATAGTTGCTACGAAAGAGACGAGGAGGCTGTTAATATTTCACGTTTTCATCTAATTCTGGGGAAAGCCCACGGGAGGGGCACACGGCACATCTCGCAGGGCAGTCGCTGGGCTCCGGCTGCCCCTGGCTCCGGGACGTGGGTGAGTTTCCGCCAGGCCCGGCCTCCACCTACCCCATAGGAAGGTGTCGCCTCTGACCACCTCCAGCAGAGACGCGTTCTGTAAGGCGGCTAGGAACGTGGCGGACACCTCCCGGACATCCAGGTCGGCGACGATCAGCAGGTGAAACTCCACCACGACGCTGCCGTTGGTGACGCTGGCCACCTCCACCCTGACCCCGCCGGCGTCCAGGTGCCGGAGCAGGGTGTCCGGCAAGGAGTCCCGCACCTTGGGAGAAATAGACCTCGCAAGAGACGTTTCGCACTGAGGGGAAACGGTGTCTGTCCCAAGGTGGCCCCTCCTGGGACCCTGCCCGGCAGCAGGGCTGGGCCTTGGCACAAAGGTAAAAGCCACAGGTCGGTTCTGGGTGCCTTTCCCGCCCGCCACGTCTGCTGGCCCCGCACAAGCGCCTGGGAGTGTCTGTGATGCTGAGAAGGGTCCTTGTCCCCCACAACCGGCAAACGGTCACAGAGGGGTGTCTGCACGCCAAGTGTGGGGCTGGCGGGCTTGCAACCTGCCCGGGCTGGCGAGGACATCCAGAGCCCGCCACTCTCAGCTCAGAGTGGTGCGGGGCAGGGGACTGAGAGAGTGGCTATCGGGAAGGAGACCGCCTCCCCCACTGTGTTTTTTCTAGAACAATCCTTCCACTCCTTAACATTTTCCCTGCCGTTCTCCCTCCCCAGCTGACCCCAAACTGCTTCCCTGCGAGCTTTTCCCACATCCCTATTAGGCCGGGCGGCGTCTGCCTCTAAAAGGCTCGGCCACTTTGCACAGAACTGCGGGGCACACCCGTGTCATTCCACTCCTGCCAGTCACGGTCAGAATGCCCAGAAGGACACACAACCTCGCAGCGAGCTTGGAGAGCCCACATGATGCGAATCTCCTAGGGGACAGTGCGCCTCCAGGTTTGTCCTTGCAGAGAAAAACCGTGAGGAGCGACGGCTCAAGTCACAGGCTTGTGGACTCTAACAAATTTGTGGAACAGATTGAGTATCACCTGTCAGAGGCTACGGACCCCAGAGAGACACCCAGCTGCCTTTGGTTGACTCAGATGGCTACTGTCATTACTGTGTGTGTGTGTCTGTCTGTCTGTCTCTCAGAGGGAGTTGTCACAGTCCTACATTACTGTCACCTTTAGTTGCGTTTCAAGCGGGTCTCAAAGCAAATTTCCAGGCCCCTTGCTAGGTAGTGACAAAGAACCAAGTGCCACATCAACCCAGCACCTCCCAGATATGTGTCTTAACATCCTATTTGTGAAATTAAGTTGCATGATTATTTCCTCTCCTGAAATTCTAAACAAATTGAAAAAAAAACAGCTATCCTCAAAATTGGGCAAAGGAGAACTGGTTCAAAGAGGAAAGACGTATTGAGAGACTTGGGATGGAAACGGAGCTGCCTCATCTGACCACTAGAGCTAGGCAGAACCATTTACGCGTGATGTTACGCGTAACTACTATTTAACCTAAAGAAGATAGTGACGCACATTATCAATCTAACCATCAGTAACTCTCGAATCCACACACTGGGTTAGGAGCCGAGAATCCCAGAATAAATAAGGTCAGATCCCAGATCCCAAGGGGCCCCTTGGGGACAATTCCTGGAGGCAGCACGATCCAATTTATCAGCGAGAAAGGCCGCGGGGTTTGCACCTGCCATCGTGTTATCACAGCTGGCCACTAGGTGGCGACGTCAACTCCCCCATTCTGTACCTTACAAACTGCCACTCTAAGGGGAAGCTAAAACGTCAGATCTCCACCATGCAAACAAGATCGCCAGATTATGATAAGTGCATTCTCTATACTTGTGGTCCCTAACCCCTGGGCTGTGGACCGGTACCAGCCCGTGGCCCGGTAGGAACGGGACACAGCAGAAGGTGAGCTTCCAGCCAGCAAGCAAACCTTCACCTGTGTTTACAGCGGCTCCCCATCACTCGCATCGACACTTGAGCTCCACCTCCGGTCAGATCAGCGGGGCTATTAGATTCTCAAAGGAGTGTAAGCTGCCCGTGCGAGGGTTCTAACGCCTGGTGATCGGAGGTGGAGCTGAGGCGGTGATGCCAGCGCTGGGGAGCAGCTGCAAATGCAGATTTATCATCAGCAGAAAGGTCTGACTGCACAGAGACCATAATAAATCACTGTCTCCCGTCACCTGCAGGTGGGACTGTACAGTTGAAGGAAAACCAGCTCAGGGCTTCCTCTGATTCTGCATTATGGAGAGTGGGTTGTATAATTATTTCATTATACAATGTAATAATAACATAAATAAAGTGCACAATAAATGTGATGTGCTTGAATCATCCTGAGACACACCCCCCCCCCCCCCCTCTGGTCCATGGAAAAATTGTCTACCATGAAAGCAGTCCCTGGAGCCAAAAAGATTGGGAACTGCTGCTGTATACCTCAAAAAGTAATCTAACATCTATCAAAAAGAATATTTGTTACTAATTGCAACAATATTGCATCCCAAAGAATGTTGAGGGGATGGAAAGAGGAGGAGGAAAAATAATTTTTTTAAGGCAGGGACCATACCAGCGTTATTCCTGACAGATAGAAGAGGAAGCAACCAAATGTCCATCAATGATTGAATGGATGAATAAAAATTGGTATGTTCATGCAGCGAAATAGTATCCCGCCATAAAAAGGAATGAAGCACGGACGCATGCTACATGGGTAAACTTGAAAACATTATTTTAAGTGAAAGAAGGCAGACGCAGAAGGCCACATGCCACAGTACCCCATTTCTATGATATATCCGGAATAGGCAGATCCACGGAGACAGGAAGCAGAGTACTGGCTGCCAGGGGCTGGGGAGGGTGACTTCCAATGGGGCAAGGTTTCTTTTTGGGGTGGTGAAAATGTTCTGGAATCAGATAGTGGTGACAGTTGCACCATTTTTCCAAATAGTCCACAGCACTGAATTTTACAGTTTACAGGTGTGGATTTTACGGTGCATGAAATAGCTCGCAATTTTTTTAAGTTTTTTTAAACAGGGAAGGGGCTGTGTGCTCCACAGGGTCCCACAATGGACAAAGAAGTTTCACTGGGCGCAGAGCAGCGTGGAGCACGAGTGCGCGAGAGGAAACGTCGTCTCCGTCTGCTGGCCTGCCTTTCCTGCTTGGACCAGACCAGAATTCTGCCCACCCCGCCCTCCTTCCCTCCCAAGAGGAAGCAGGCTCTGCTGCCGCCCACGTACCATCCTGAAGAACAGTTCTAGGAAGTCCCGATACTCCCGGCTGCTCGTGTTGCGGAAGGAGTCCGAGAACCGCACGTTCGCTATCCTCACCTGCCCGCTGAGCTTCTGGGCCGCTGCGTGGGGGGGGGGGAGGAAGCATGTTTGCAAGGGCGCGCGTTAGCGACAGACCACGGTTTCCGTCTTCATGGTCCCACTTCCACGTTGGCCAGGGAGAGCAGCGCACTGGCTGACCTGCCCTGCGGGAAGGAGGCACGCCGCCTCCCCCCACCCCGCCCCCGACTGCAGAGGACACAGGACAGAGCTCAAGCGCAGAGGGAGAACCTTCCGGAACCAGCTCAGCCTCTGCCACTGTGCTCCAGCCCGGCGCAGCCTCCCTCCCTCGCTGCCGTCACGCGTGCTGGGGTGCTCAGACAACGGGCCAGCGAGCCGGGATGACTTTGAGATCAAATGATCTTGCCAGGGTCACAAGTGCCACCTGGGCTGTCCCTGGTAGACCAGGACGCAGGGGCGCCTGACCCCACACCACAACAGGGTGCCCGGGGTCCCCTTCAGAGCCAGGCCGGCTTCCCCCTCCCCCCACCCCACGTGCCCCCCAGACCTCTTGCAGGCTAAGGGCAGTCCCGCCTTTGGCATCTTCTGTTCCATCTAAATCCTGCCCCCACCACCACCACCCGCAGAGGGATTTTAGGAGTACATGGGACATGCACGTAGTCCAGGAACGTCACCGCTGCATCCGGCCCCCGGCAAGGTGGCCGCCTCAGTTCTCAGCCCGCCCCTCACCAGACAGCCGGGAAGCACCTGCCACATGCCCCAGGTGTCCTGGGCAGGGCAGGAGAGCAGCGAGGCTCTCCTCCTCCCAGGGGACCTAGAGTCCGTCCCCCAGAGCTTCTCACTCAGGCTTCAGATGAGCCACAAGCCATCCGGCTAAGCTGTCCCACTACGCACTCCTGGATGAACCCTGAACCCCAGGTCCTTGGGGCCATTGCTGTCGCTGCACCTGAGGCTCTCGGTCCAGCGCGGCAGCAGCTGGCTCAGGCAGCCTAATCCCAAAACCGCAGAATCAGGGAGGGAGCACGGGCAGGAGCACGCTCAGGATCACGCAGACAGCTTGTCCCTTCCAGGGTGGGTGGGACCGTCAGGGCCCAGCACCGGCTCACAGCCCCCGGGGGCCGCCCTGCCTGAGCGCCCAGCCAACGCCAGCCCCCCACTCTCCAGCTGGCCATGAACTTGCACGATTAGCGTCACCCTACTCCGTCTGGGTCTCCAATTCCCCAGCCCATGGCTGAGTAGTACTTTAAAGTACATAAGTAAAAGTCCTAAACTTTTCTCACTGCGCCCCAATAGGTCATCTGTGGCACCACCCCCCCAGGCGTGTGCTCCCCGCCGAGGAGACCAGGGCTGTCAATGCTCAGTAAGGTGCCTGAGGCAGACCCAAAACATCAGACGCGCCCTTGGCCACTCAGGTAAGGTACACATCTAAAAGGACACCCAGGTGACACTCGAATGAGGAGGAATGAGGAGTTTTACCCAAATGTGTGTAACCAAACCGCTGTCAGTGATCAGCTCCAGCTTACTGAGTCTGTTTGATTTGCTGTCTCCCGAGTCTGCCACCACCCTTTCCTCGGTGGCCTCGGGCTCTGGCGGGCCGTTCGCACGGCGTCCGTCTGGCCGCCAGTCCCCCGCCCTCCCCGAAAGCCAGGCGTCGGGGTGAGGAGGTCGGAGGGAGTGGACTCTGCTCAACAGACCAGCGCCACGTGCGTTTGCCCAGTCACGTACCCGAGGACGGGGACGAGCCCGCCTCTGCAGGGGCGGAGTCTGGGGCACTCGCGATGCCACCTGTGTGCGCACCTGCCTCCCGGGGGGGTGGGGGGGGGGAGTGAGCCAGACGCCCCCACGCTCAGAAGACAATGCAAGCCCAGCAGCCCACAGAGAAATCTGGTCGTTGAACCTTAACCCGCTGGAAACCTTTCCCCATACTCTTTCTCCCGCCCTTTAAAGCGCACGGGGCCCCGTACCTGTGCGCACTTTCAGGCGCGCTCTGGCGCCTTCCACCCCGCAGGCCGTGGCCACCACCTCCACCTCGTGCAGCACGCCGGGCTCCAGCCCCGACAGCAACACGCTGGCGTGCCGGGTCTCCAGGCCCACCGAGGCGCCCCGAGGGGAAGTCAGCATGATCCGGAAAGTGGGGCTCGGGCTGGGACCCTCTGCCCACGCCAGGCGGAAGCCCGTGCTGGTCACGTTGGAGACCGTCACCCTCCCGAGGGAGACGGGGCCTGGCGGGCGGAACAGAAATTCCAAAAGTCAACCCCGGCTGCTCAGAGGACGGAGGGAAGAGAGGCCTCGGCCAGCCAAGGCCGAAAATCAAGCACATCTCGACGTGGCCACGAGGGGTTCGCAGGTGACACCAGCCGAGGCGCGTCCTGGGACGGCTCCTCCTGAGCGAACCTCCCAAGCAGGGCTCCTGAGGGCTGCAGCCCCCGCAGGACGGCGGGAAGCAGTGTCTGCTTTGGTTTTGTTTTAGAGGGGGACTGAACTCTGATCTTTTTTTCTTTTGCTAAAAACTCCTTCCTAAGGAGGCCGGCTGGGTTAGGCTGACAAATGGTAAATTCCCACTCAGCGGGGTTTATTTCCCAACCTCATTCCGGTGTGGCATTAACAGCACTGAAAAGATAAGAAGCCCCTGTCTTAACTCAAGCATCCTAGCAGGGGCCTATCATAAATTTAAAACGTCCTCCTGTCTGGACCTCCCAGAGTGCTCACACCCTTATCTGAAAATAAGCACATCCTTTCTGGTCTTCTAGATAAAGTCTAACTCTCCCAGCCAATTGCCAGCCAAAGAATCTTTAAACCCACCTATAACCTGTAAGCCTCTCCGCTTGGAAATGTCCCACCTTTTTAGGCCAAACCAACCTCTCATATATTGATTTGTGACTCTGCCTGTAACCCTTGTCTCTCTGAAAAGGTATAAAACTGAACTGTAACCCAGACACAGCGAGTCCACCTGCTCAAGGCTTCTTGAGAGTGGCTCCGGGTCATGGTCCTCAAACTTGGCTCAGAATAAACTTCTTTCAAATATTTCAAGGCTTGGATTTTTTCCGTCCACAAGAGGACGGCTCAAATACACCCCGGAGGTCCCTGCACTTCCAGGAAGGAAAGCCCCTCGAGCAGGCTCTGGGGGTCTTCAGAGCGTTGCCCACCACGCCTGGCGGGCTTAGCAGGGGTCAACACAGAGGTCTCTGCTGGCTGCAGAGCTGCCTGACAGGGAGACCAGGTCCCTGCCCAGTGCTGGCCACAAGGGCGTGAGAGTTCAGTCGGAGGCCTGTGCTGTTTGGCGGGAAACGCTTTGATGGGGCTCACATTAACAGTCCAGGTGGGGGCAGCCAGGGTGGGGCGAGTGCTGTGAGCTCCCGGGAGAAGTGGCCAGGCCAGGCCCTGCACAGAGCTGCCCTGACTCCCCTCGGTGATGGCTAACCCCTCTCTGTGCAGCACGTGCACCTGGGGTTCGGGCATGGCTGGGGGACAGGACACCCGTGGGGGGTGTCCTGCACGGAGAGCTATAGGGGTGCAGCACAGCTGGGGATGCAGTTTTGTGGGGTGGCACGGCTGCTGGAGGCTGTGGCAGGCTGGGGCACAGCGCTGCTGGGGGCAGGACTGCAGGGGTGGCCAGCACCCCAGGGACTGCTCCAGCACCTGCCTCTACACGGGCACCCAGACCCAGAGTCGGCTCCCGAAGCCTGAAGCCTGACCTCTGCCCCCGCTGCCGCCGGCACGGAGCCTGTGAGGGGGAGGAGAGGGCTGGGACAAGCCCGGGACAAGCTTGCCTCCTAGCTGGACCAGAAACCAGCCGCCAAGGGACAGCTGCTCTGCTCCTGGTTTCCCCGTGCATGGGACAGGGCAGACGGCCCGAGTGAGGGACGGGGCAGACGGCCCGAGTGAGGGACGGGGCAGACCACCCGAGCGTTGCTAACAGGCTCTGACCCGCCTGCACCTCTCAGGGTCCCCTCCCCGGGAGGTACCACTCCACTCTAGGCACTCACCGCAGGCGGCGGGTGTCAGAGGCGTGGGGGCTGACGGCAGGTCTGGGGGCTGAGAGCGTCCAGGATCCTCCCTCTGCAGCCACGTGGAGTTCAGAGGTGTCTCCCGCGTGGGGAGGCTGGCGTGCCACGCCACGTGGCCGGTGGGGCCCTCGGCAGGGATGGGCCAGGAGGGGGGCCCCGTGCTGGAGTTTCCCAGGAACTGTCCAGGGGGGTCCAGTGGGGCCCCTGTGGCCCTCTGAGGGGAGCTGTGGGCTGGCGCAGGAACGCTGGGGGAGGAGGTGGCGCCAGTCACCCCACCGGTGCTTCTCTGGCCTGTCCCCAGGCCTGGGGCCGCGCTGGGTGCCTCCTCCTCCACTCCTTGCCCTGTGCTGTTCCTGTAGTGCCCGACGGTGCCACTGCCCCCTCTCCCGGGCGGGGGCCCTGGGGTCTGGGCCTGGCCTGCCGCAGACGTGGCCCGCAGGAGCGCGGGGCTGGGTGACGGGGGGGAGGTCTCCGGGCCGGGGAATGTTGGTCCTGTGCTGGGAGCTGCTGCCGAAGTCAGCACATTGTCCGAGGGGCTCACCAGGTCACCTGCCAAAACAGCCGCCGTCAGGTGGGGCGCCGGGTCCAGCAATGTCTGCACAGAGCCTGCCATCCCCCGCCCCATGAGCAAGAGTGCCCCTCTCAAAGCGGGCACTGCTGCTCTGGCCCCGTGGCCCCAGAGCCCAGACTCGAATGCAAGGTTTGGTTCTCGCAGCCTCAGACTAACCCATCGGGGCTTCGGGAAAATGGGGCAATTCCCCCCAGGTGTGCGCTCAGTGTGGGACTCGGTGCTGGATGTTCTCATCAGCTTGCTGGACATCAGGTGAAGACAGGCTGGGGACACGAGGAGGCAGGGCAACACACCCAACGTTTAAGGAATATTTTCCCCGGGGAGTAATTCTCAACTGCTCCTTCCAGCCAGAAAGGCCCGAGCTGCGGGTGGCAGGCGTGGGCCGGGCACCTCTGCCACCCGCGTCCAGACAGACGCTGCGTCAGTCACGGCATGCCAGGTCTGCGTGTGGCCTCCTGCCACTCTGCTTGACACCCCGGGTAGCACCCACCCACCAATCAGAACTAGCCCCTAAAAGTCACTTGGGGCCAAGACGTGGCGGGCCTGGGGCCCAGAAGACACCCCCCCCGGGTCCCTCTCCAGCACACCTGGGCCTCCACACCCTCTCGGGCCGGGCGCAAGGCCACCTGGGGAGAGAGGGACCCACCTCCCGGGGCCACACCCTAACTTTTGTGGACCCCCAGAACTTGGCCTTCACGGCCCAAGCATCCCTCCATAAAGAGTCTAATAAAAACCATATCCACAACAGCAGCATGGGGATGGAGATGAACAGAGTCCAAGCTGGATCCTCGGTTATCCATGTGCGCACTCTCATCATGTTAATTTCCTTCTCCTGACTTTAAAAGCAAAGGCTCACACTCTCCTGGGCCCTTGGCCCTGCCTCGTCCCCGGGGCCCCAGGGCCAGGGCCCGTCCCAGAGCTGGGGAGGGGGGAGGGGGACACGCACCCTCACAGACCCGGCCGGCCCTGGAGGGGTTGGCGTCCCTGGCCGAGCGGCACTGGCAGGTGTAGGAGCCCTCGAGGTTGACGCATCGGGCGTTGGGCGAGCAGTCGTGCTCCGAGCTGTCCGCACACTCGTCCCAGTCTGCGGGAGATAGGATGCAGCGGTGAGCAGCGGGCCAGAGACCAGCCGGGAAACAGGCGGCCCCAGAACAGAGCTCTTCCGACCTCGCTGTGGTGGCCGGCCAGGAACAGATGGCCCTGCAGCAGGGGTCCTCAAACTTTTTAAACAGGGGCCCAGTTCACTGCCCCTCAGACCGTGGGAGGGCCGCTGGAGAGTGCGGGCACATTCCACACATGCGCACTGTGGGCCCAGGACTAGTCGGCCGCTAAGCAGGACTGGCAGCAGCGGCAAAAACACCCAGCGGGCCGGATAAATGTCCTCGGCTGGCCGCATGTGGCCGAGGGCCGTAGTTTGAGGATGCCTGCCCTACGGGGTGGGAGCCTGAGTGCACCTTCACCGTCGGCTGGCTTACATGGGGGCAGAGCTTAGGAGGGGCTGCTCCCGGGGTGGGTGAGCACCCACAGGCGTGACTGTGCCCCTCCCTCGGTCATTCTGTGTCCTCACACCAGCAAGTGGAGCTGCTTTCTTCTCTTTCATGCGCCAACACCCCCCAATAAATAGTGTTTTGACCAAGAAACAGAAAAACAACTGAGCCGGGAGGGGCCAGCTAAGTATGGCACGCACTTCCCATGCCACTCAGAGCATCCAGGTGTCCCAACAGGTACAGGAATGGCCTTGACACCTCCTCTTGCACCCCAATATCCCCGTGTGATGTCAGCCCTGGCAAGCCCTGGCCACTTAGACTCGGGGAGGAGGAGTGGTGGGTCAGCCACCCCTGTGGCCCCACCCCCCAGTCCTCACCAAGCCTGCCCCCACCCCCACTGTGCACACACGCCCCACATTTCCCGTCAGTGTTCACGGCACAGAACTCACCCGCGACGCCATTCCCTTCCCCTCCCCCCATTCCGCTCTTCCCCTCTGGTCTCCGTGGTGACCGCCATGCATCCCTGTACCTGCTCCAAGAAATGGAATGCGATGGCCCCGTGCACTTCGACACATGACTGAACAGTGTGTGTGAGTGACGACTTAAGGGAAAAATACTGCAAGCTGCACTTGAGGCCAGGGGAGCCGGGGTGGGGGCAGCTTCCCGACAGCCCCGAGAGTCCCCCCGCCCCACCCCGCAGGGAGGCCGCTGGCACAGGGCCGGTATGTGGCCCCTGGGAGGAGCTCGCTGGCTGGCGGGGGGAGGCTCTGGGGAGCTGCCCCTGTTGGAGGGGCCGGTTGGGGGGCGAGGGTGGCTCCCTGGGGGGCGGGTGGGCTGAGCCAGGCCAGGGAGGGTCGGGCTGCCCCAGGCCCTTCTGTGCAGCTTCTAGCGAGGCAGGTGGAGGTGCCGGGAACACCCCACCCACGCCCAGTGTGCCGGAGCAGCTCCGACCCAGATAAGGGACTGGTTCGGTTTTGTGCTGAGAAAGCCCCACAGGCAAGGGCTTGAGAGGCTTGTTTTGTGGTTTTCCTGGCTTTGCCTCATGAGCTCGCTCCAGAAGCAGCTTCCCCAGAAACCAGCAAGCTGTCGGCTGCTGCAAAGGCCAAGCCGGCCCCCGCACATGGCCCGGGGCTGCCGTGCCACCAGGGCACCGTCCACACCTCCTTCCCAGGCGCTGCCCGACCTCCAGCTGCAGGGTCGGAGCCCAGGCTGTGGGCAGCAGAGGCTCCCGCCAGACGTTGACTCAAACCGCGAGCACCTGGCGTCTATTTCCAGCGCCGGTGATTCACCTAGCCTCCGCCCCGGCAGACAGCCCAGGGTTTTATTTAGCCTTGCGTTGAGCCCCGAGGCCAGCAGTCTGCAGTTAGGAGGAAGAGGCAGGTGTGGGAGCGGGAAGAGCTGCCGGGACCTCACACCCTCCCAGGCCGCCAAACAAGGCCGAAGATGAACAAGAGGGAGGCCAAATTCTGCTCCCACGGGGACAAGAACAAAAGCTATTCCCAGAGGAGCGGGGACAGCTGCCTCAGAGCTGGGACTGCCCGGCACAGGTGCCCCACCTGAATTGGCCCCGCTGGGAACGAGCTGCAGGTGCCCAGAGCAGGCGCAGACCCCAGACCTCCTGGGCTCCCCGTCCCAGCAAGGCATGGGCTCCTCAGTGGTCACCTGCTGCCCGGTCCAGAGCCCTCAGCTCTCCTGTGGGCTGTGTCAGATGCACACCTGGGACAGAGGCAGAGGACCAAGCCCCTGGCTCTGACGCAGGCAACACAGACGCCAGGCACAGAGCACCTGGCTCTGATGCCACCAGCACGGACGCCAGGCAAAGGCAGCAGCCCTCAAGTCTAAGGAAAGAAAGCCGCCCACCGTGCCAGCCTGGCCAGCAGGTGAGGGGCCCAGGCCGGGCAGCCTCGCCCGGTTCCTTCTCCCACGGCTGCGAGGGGACGGACAGGCCTGTGTGGCAGTGACGCCGTCGGGAGCAGGCAGCTGAATGGAAGCTTCCGGCAGCTCAACTTGACCTGCTCTGACCCCTCCCCCGGCCAGGAGGAGGTGGCCGCCCACAAGGTCCCACAGACCCTCTCACGCAGAAGACGCTGTTGGTGCCGAAACGTAAACGCCAAGCTCTGCAAGGATGCCTGCTGGGAGCCCAGATGCCCGTCCTCGCCCAGAAGGACCGAGGACTGGCCGGAGCCTCTCCAGAGAGCCGGGTTTAAGGGAGGGCAGGGGCGGGGGCTGCGCTGTTGAGGGGGAGGTTGAAGGGGAGCGATGGGAGGGCCGGGAGAGGGGCCCCAGGAGGAGGAAGGGCCACTGGGGACCCGGGGTGCCGGGGGTACTTCCTGGACAGTCACTCTTCCTAGATTTGAGAGCTGGCCCAGAAGAGGTGCCCTGCCAGCTGGAGGTGACACAGATGCGCCCGCTGTGTGTGCCAGGAGTAGTGCTGACCCCACCCGTGCACCATCCCTGAGTTTACACAACTGACCTGGGGGGGGGGTGCTGCCCTTGCCTTCCCATTGCACAGACGGGCAAACTGAGGCCCAGGGAGGTGAAGTCACTTGTGCCAGGCACGTCCCGCAGAGATCGAATGTCAGAGCTGGGATTCCAGCCTGCTCCGCCTACCCTAACCTCCGCCTACCCTAACCTCCGCCTACCCTAACCTCCGCCTACCCTAACCGCCACACTCGGCCTCCTCCCATGGGGCGGAGACGGGCCGTGACGACCTGACCCCCGGGCGGGCCGCCCTCGGCCTCCTCTGTCGGGGTTGGGACGTGTCGGCCCGCAGACGGTGAGTGTCCAGCACCATCCGGGGACGCTCCCACCACGCCAGCCGCATCGTCTCTGTGTGAGCCACGGAGCAGAGGACTTTTCTCATCTTCCCAGGAGCTTCCCGCGCTGCGGCTGGCTGCTTTTCTGCAGAACAGCCTCGTACGTGCTGCTCCGCCAGGTCCCCGCCCTGGAGCTGGGGCTCTCGGGGGGTGGGACGTCTCCCCACAGCTGGCTCGGCCTCACGCGCTCCCGGGAAGGGGCTGCTCCGCTGGCTCTGGTGCCAGGAGACTGCAGGCGCAGGGCCAGCCCTGCCAGCTGCACAGGGCACCCGCCCGCAGTAGCAGCCCAGCTCCGAAAAGTGCCACGAACAGCCCACTGCTGCTGGCGGGAACTCGGCCGGGCAAAAGCCAGCTGGCGGTGCTTGGCGACCCACGAGCGGCTCGGACTTCGTGGGGAACGGGGTGGCGGCAGCACTTAGGCTGACTTAGGGATCTTAGACCCGAGAGGCACATCTCCCTCTGCACGCGTGTCCTGCGGCTGCCGGAACACAGTGGGGCCGGAACAACGCGAATTCGTTCCCACGGCTCTGGTGGGACGTCCCAGACCAAGGCGCCAGCAGGGCTGTGCTCCCGGGCCCAGGCAAGACCCTCCTCGGCTCTTCCATGCTGCGTGGCTCTGGTGTTCCTTGGCTTGCGGCTGTGTCACTGCAGCCTCGGCCTCCGGTGGACATATGGCGTCTCCCCCTGTCTGTGTCTCCCCCTCGGTCTCTTGTAGGGACCCTTGTCATTGGATTTAGGGCCCACCTAAATCCAACTGCAGGATGATCTCATCTAGAGATCCTTACCTAAATCACTTCTGCAAAGAACGTTATTCTAAATAAGGTCACATTCTGGAGTTCCAGGTGGACCTGTCTTTTGGGGAGGAGGCGACACTCAACGTATACCTCCCTCCTGCCCGAGAGCCTTACGTGACAAAGATCTGGAGTAGCACAGGCCCTGCTCTGCAGAGGAAGGGGGGGCAGGCAGTGTGGAGGAAGGGCAGGGCTCAGGGGTGCCGGGGCAGCACCAGGGAACTCCCCCGCAGCAACCCAGCCCCTGCCCGGCCCCCACGCTGGCCACCCAGCCAGGTGGGACCTACAGGTGCAGACGCCACTGCAGCATCTCCATCCTTACGGGCTTAGGGATGTCTCATGAACAGAATGACCCCAGGCTAAGCACACAGGGGCACACGTGCAGGCACCCCCAGCCTTCCCTGCACTCCTGGGTGGGAGAAAGTTGGGACCTCAAGCCATAGACAGTGATGGAGCTCATGCTCAGACCCAGCACTGCTGGGGGCCAGGTGGCCCTTCCACAGATGAGCCCCAAACGGAGGCCCTTGACTTAGAGACTGTGTGTGCCCCACCGCTAGGAGAGCAATGCATGCCCGCGTTGGAACTGCAAAACCATCTCGCCGTCTCTGTCTCTCTCTGTCTCTGTCTCTGGGACTCTGTCTCTAACTTTATCTCTGTCTCTCTATTTCTATCTCTATCTCTGTTTCACTCTCTGTCTCTCTGTCTCTGTCTGACTCTCTGTCTCTGCTGCGTCTACGACCTCCTGCTTCAAGGCAGAACCACGTGAAATGCACTAACATGGGCTAATGAAATAGACCTGCAAGTGGGCAGTGGTGCACCCACCCAGCGGTGCCGGAGCCCTGACCACGGATCCCCTGAGCTCCCATCCCCTCACCCACGTGGACCCTCCAGCCCTGCCCCGCTCGGTGTTCTGGGCCTGAGGAGACCAGCCGGTGGCCGTGGTGTTCCTGGGCCACTGCCCTGGGCCTGGTTTGGGTGGAGGAACCCAGAGTAGGGGCTGTGTCTCCTTCGCTCCACCTCTGGGATCAGGGAGAGACTGGCTCAGAACAAAGCCGCCCAGGCTACCCGTGACCGGAGGACAGCACGCAGCGCCGTCGGTGGGGAGGAGTGTACCTTGCACGCGTGTCCCCCGCGGGTCGATCTGGAACACTGTGCTCACCAGCAGGGGCTGGAGCATGGGGGACAGCGTGGAGACGCCCACCGGAAACTCGGGGTCCCACACCGTGAGTCTGAGCCTGGCGACCACACTCCCCGCCCGGAGAGACTCAACCTGCATCCTCAGCTTCCCACGTCTGTGCAAGTCAGCGACCGCCGGCGGGAAGGAGTTCTCCACCTGGCCGGGAAGAGGCCACAACCACTCAGACAGAGCAGACATCCGTCAACGTCATCAAACCCTCAAGCGGGGCCCAGGGTGACAGAGCTACTTCTCCTGTCCTCCTCCCTGTCTGTAGCCGACCTCTCGGGCAGCAGAGACGCCCTCCCGGCTCCCAGAGCCCTGTCCAGTTTTCCCTGGGACAGCTGGGCCCAGCCTGGTCTGGGGTGGAGAACTCTCAGTGACCACCACGGCCAAGCTCCCAGTCTGGGAGCATCACAGGAACGAGCCACCCTGGGTGTCCTGACAGCTGGCGCCAAGGCCATTTGTGCGGGTGCATGGGAGGGACCATTGGGTTGATTGACGGACGATTGATTGATGGGGAAGGACCACCAAGGCAACAGTCCCGGTGGCTATTTGGAGCTGTCCCCTCTTTACTGGGCTGTATCCCTCATTAAACACACAGAGCCAGGTGCTGCGTAGAGTCACCTATACCCAGGTAAGGGAGATGCCAGCCTGGCCCCTGCCTTCCTGCCAGTCTGTTCCCACACACGGGTGAGTGAACATTGGAAAAGAGAGGGACTTCTCTAAACACGTGCGAAAACTGACTCCCCTGCAGGAGCATGTTGGGAAGGAACCCTCGGGTCCCGGCATTTCTGCAGTCTTGCAAGCAGGAGCACTAATTGTCCTTTTGTTCCAGAAGATCTTCCCAAGGATGCTTGTTTAGTGAGCAGCCTTGGGAGATAGGGACAGTGGCTCTCTCCAGGGCAAAGGGCTGGTGTGTTTACTGCCAGATATGACAAAGATAATGTCTCCTCCTAGAGCAAGGTTTAGGCAGATTTGTTTGCAGCCCGTTATAAAAGATCTGGGCTCCCCGAATTTGGGGTTCCTCGGCTGTGACACAGACCTGCTTTGTGTGTGCATCACCTTGGGCCCTCCACATCTCCTGTGGGGCTTGAGGGCAGGAGGGGGAACTGCACCAACACGACGCCCACGTCACCGGCTGTGCTGTGAATAAGTCAGTCCTGCATCCCTGACCCAGGAGTCTTGTGGCTTCTGCCAACATCCATGAAGCTGTGCGGACTGACCTGCTAGTTTGCAGGGAGGGTCAAACCTCAGACCTTTCCTGATTCCTGGCAGTTTAGGAAGTCCCTTTTCCCTCCAACTCACTATTCACAGACAGATGGTGTTTCACTCTGGCTTGGTCTCCCTTTAGCCGCAAGGGAAGAGCGGATGTCGAGATCGTTGGTAAATGTCAATAAAGCTACACCAGCTCAGGAAGACGGAAAGTTCAACAGAAAACCAGCCGTGGGGACCATTTGAATAAAGATGCATATTCTAAAGCTGGACCTGCCCAGTATCCAGGTTAAGTACCCTATACAAGGAGGGGAAGCTTTTGAGCAATTATGATGTGATGCGGCTTCCCTACCCCCACCCCCGGGGCCGCAGCAACACGCAATCTTGCCACGCACTCGGGTTTGGGCTTTACCTCGTGCAGCAGCTGTCTAGCAAAGTCCTGGTGCTCCACACTGCTGCGGTTGAGTAGCTGCTCCGTCCAGTTGCGGTTTACGATCCTTATTGTGACTTCAAACACTCGGGCATCTGAGACAGACAGTAATGAGAATTAGCCGAATTCCTGTGGTCAGAAGTCACAGGCTTTTCTGTTAATGTTTTCCATGATGCCTATTCTTTGGCAGGGAAATTATTCTCAAAAATAGATTGAGACGTGAATCTAGATTGCGGCAGCCAAACTGGGGGGAATGAATGTAAGGAGCATCTCCTCTGTGCTGGAGGGACAGGCACTCGTGACATAAACGCACTCTTCTATGTCCAGGGCAGGACGTTGAAGCGGGGAAGGTGCAAACGCCACACGCAGTCCACAGCAGCAGGAGCTTGCAGGATCCAACCAGCGCGTGCAGGGGACAGAGGCCCCTCTGACAGTGCTGTCCTACGGGGCGGCTGCTCTTTCCTTGGTCACAACCCCGGTTCTACCAGGTCTCCACACCGCGCCCTCGCCCAGGCCCTCAACATCAGAGCGCGCGTCTGCCCAGGACGAGCCGGGCCCTACGCTGGAAGTCCCGCCTCTCGGCACTGTGCCCCGCCCCGGCAGACTGGGCTGCCCACCTGCGGGGGAGGCTGCCTCACCTTTGGACACAACAAAGCAGGAAAAAGACTGAAGATGGGACAGGGGGACACATGTCTCTCTCACTGCCAAGCGCAAAACCCGCACGCACAGCACGAGAGTCGGTGGGCGTCACAAGCGGACCCCGAGGCAACTCTGCACGTTTCTCTGATTGTGTCTGGTGGGCGCTCAAAGAGGTGCCCCACCCTGCCCGTCCCCTGCCTGGCAAGCTCCGGGCCCGTGGGTCAGGGGCCATCACACGGTGCACCCCCCTATGCATGCCACACAAAAGGCCACAAAAGTGTCACCGACATTGCACAGCGTATGTTTCCAGGTCGGGCCAGGCCCCTCTGAATCTCCCAGCTCAGCGAGAGGGACCCCCGTGGCTGCTGATTCTCAGACAGCAACGATCGTAGAGCCTCGGGGTGGCCAGAAACACCGTGCTCTGGGCGTCGGCCACGGCCACAGCACCTGCTGCCTCCCAGCGTTGGTGGCTGAGTCGGATGGGCCTTTAAAGCAACCAAGCTGTTCGTACTGTGTTTACAGTATGGAGAAGGGAAGCAAATCAAGGCAGGGGTGGCACAAGCCGGTAGCTCAGGAGCCTTCTGGAACCTATGTCTGGCAGGGGAACACAGGTGTTGGTTCCCGGGGACACGGGTTTGCTGGGGTGGGGTGGAGCCACAAGTTCCCCTTGCCTGTCCCAGCAGAGGTCAACGTTCGTGTCTGGACGATGGCCCTATACACCTGACACCTGTCAGGCCTCAGCTTCCTCAAAGGAGAAGACTGTTCCTCCACTTAACCCCTGGAGTGTTTGAAAATAAAATGGGCAGATGAGGGACATCTGCTGGGAAACTGGAGGCCTCGTGCAAAGTCAAGGGCTTGCGTTTTGCTCGGCAGGGTCTTGGGGTGGGGGGACGGGGCAGGGCGCCCGTGCTGGGGCTGACAACTCAGCATGAGGCCCCCTTGGGCGCTAAAGGGTGTAGGGCCGAGTCACGGAAGGCCTGCTCCTTCCGACGATCATTCTCTGCCACCAGTCCCTGGCACTAGCGCTGATCTCTGTGCGCAACAGAGCCCGACAGGGTGTCACTCGGCTGTGCTGTGCTGTGCACGCTCTGCCCAGACACAAGCCTGAAGGCACCTCCTGGGGCGCCCCCTGCTCCCCACGGGAGGGTGAGGCCGCTGCCCCGCACACGTTCACACTCGCGGCACCAGGCCAGCCCGGGGGACTTCCGCCTACCCTGACCGAGGCTGCTCACCACCCGGCACCCCGGGCAGCAGGCGAGACCCCAGGTGGGCTGCCCGGGAGAGAGCCGGACGAACCCCACAGCAGCCTTCCCGACACGCATCCAGAGCACATACGTGTGTCTTAGTTTGTTTCCGGAAAAAAAGTCTTCTCCCGGCACACACGCGGCGGGCAGGGCGTTAGCTTTCCCGTCCGCCCCGTGGGAAGCAGGGCGTTCTGCTTTCTGCAGACGCCTGCGGCGCTCCGGCTGGCTGTGGGGAGTCAGACGGCCTCGGTTTTGGGGGGTCCGGGGTGGCAAAGGCCTTCACACGCTCCGGCTGGCTGTGGGGAGTCAGACGGCCTCGGTTTTGGGGGGTTCGGGGTGGCAAAGGCCTTCACACGCATGCCGGTGGCTGCCACCTGCCGCGTCACTCTGTGTCATCGCCCGAGACGTGAGAGTGAGCCCCAAACAGGAAGAGGAGCTGGGCGGGCACACACAGGCCAACACGACACCCTGCCAAGCCGGGAGATCGACGACTTCCCGCCCTGCTTGTAGCAAGAACGACACGCAGGGCTGGGGCCAGGGGACTGGGCCGGAAGACACTGCCAGCTACCTGACTCTGACTGGTGGCCTTACCGGTTTTGACGGCCAGCGCGGCAGAGACGTTGGCCCCGCAGCCCTGGTAGCTGGTCTTCACCCCGTACAGCGCCCCGGCCTCCAGCCCGGCCACGGCCAGGCCCGGGCCCTCGGTCTCGGCACTCCAGAGCAGCTCCTCGCCCCTGAACACCTGCACGTGGAACGTGCGGCTCTGGGTGGCGTTGACGCCCCAGGACACACGGAAACCGCCGCTGGTGACGTCGAGGGCCATGTAGTCGCGGATTGGAGGACAATCTACGGCAGAGTGAGGAGGACGCACGGGTGTCGGAGGGGTTCACCTGCAAAGCAGGTGACACAGTCTCGACTTCACTTAGCCTCACCGATTTATCCATCAAGTTGACCAACCGATTCTCCAGTGATTATGAATCCAACCCAGCCTTCCTTTTCTCAGAACGCCTGAGTAATTTCGGAAGGTAGTTTAGGGTTGCGGGGAGACCATGGGGGTGTTGAGGTTTAACGGAGACGGTAAAGATGTCCGAGGCTGAAATCTCAGCCCCCCACCCCATCACAGAGTGGAGTTAGAAGGGAGGCTAATCCAAGTGTGCCTCAGTCTGCCCAGTGAATAACTCTGCCTTGTGTGGCTTTTTGTGTGATCCAGAATGGGTGGTCACCAGGAGGTCAGATATGCTCTCTGGGGACTGAGTCACTGCGGGGAAAGCATGTGTGGCGATGGCCATCACAGTGCAACGTGTCTGTGCTGCGTCTACAATGACCGCCTGGCCACACACTCATGGGCCCCGGGCCACCCCGACGCATGACGAGCGTTTGGTCGTTGGCTCAGGGACGGCTGCACCCCCTGACACGGTCCCCACCAGGAAGCAGGCTCAACTCGGGGTTCGGGCTGAGCTTCCTTTAGCCCTTCACTCGTTCCTGTTGCAATCCACGCTGCAGACAGCAAAGCTCGACCGCGCCAACCCGTATATGTCTCATACTCAAATAGAATTAAAGTTCTTTTTTGGGTGGAAAAAGTCTGGCTCCACTGGGTGGTATGAATTATGTAAAAAGTAGGTGGCCCTCGGTCTAGGCACCGGAATTTTCACATCAGAATTTCAGTTCTATAAAAACAAGCAGTGAGGAATTTTTTTAAAACAATCTTTTGCAAAACCATAGTAAAGAAAAAATGATTTCAAAGTATGTGTTTTCCCATAGCCCTTTATGTAAGGATTCATGGGACATAGACTGCCTAGTATAAGGAAAAGATTCTGTGTTTCCAAACACATGTGTATGCATCCTCTCAATAACAAATACATATATATATATATATATATATATATATATATATATATATATATATATATATATATATAAAGGCAATATAACCCAACTCATTTCCCTTTTTGCTTTGGCTGCCAAGAAGCTCAGAATCCATTTAGTACCAAATCCCAGTCATGTGACATAGCCCTGCTGCCTCTCCCTGCAAGCCAAGTGCTGAGCTGCCTCGTGTAACTCCTGCCTCCCCGTGGCTGCCCACATTCTCTCTGTACGCCCTGCCGGAGCCACTCAGAGTAGATGGGTACAAATCACGGGAAGCTCAGCCCTCCCTCCCTCCCTGCCTTACTTGGACAGGATCAGTGACATCTGTCCAAATTCTGGCTATGTCCTAATAAGACTTCCAGGATAGAGAGGTAGGGGATATTTTTGAAAAGACACATCTGTACTTTTTACTGAGTTGTCCAGTATTTTTCTGCATATTGGTTATAGAAATCAACGTGGACACAGTTCATTCTTTATGGTGTTTTCCTCTGTGGCAAGAGAATCGAAAACATTTCAACAGAGGGTGGCCCCAAGCTTGGGGCCTAAGACTATGGGCCACGCCTCCCTCTCCAGGGCCACCTAAATCAAAAAGCTCCCCCCACCCCCCGTTTCCCCCACTTCCTGGCCTAAGGACCACACAGCTTTTCACTCTGTTCCTTGGGACCGTATGTCTCGTTGAAAAAGGAAGGAATGGCCACGGTGTCTTTTCTAAAAAAAACCCTCGAAAAGCGCTGGCTGTTGTACTTCTGTGCAGCCGAGACTCAGCACCAAGCATGTCTCATCCCCGTCGGTGGGGGACAGTGACGGCCCAACAGCCTGCACCTGTCTCCCTGGTGCCATTCAGAAACCATGTGACGTGGAGACAGCACACCGGTGGGCTGCAGACGGCCCCCTACATCGTGGGCTGTTTAGAGGCACATTCTGTAACGGGTGCTTCCGAGCTGAGTGGAATTAAAACTAAAAGGGTGCCCCAAGTATTGGAAAAGAAGGCAGAGGGTTGGCGTTCAGGGGGGGTGTGAGAAGGTGTCGGGGATGGCAATGCATGCATCACCTCCTTTAATAACATGCATTCACTCTTTAAGGTGCCAGCGGGTCAGTAGACCATTAGATGGAGGAAATGCAAACCTGGCATTTCAAAGGCTCCGGAACCCTCCGAGGCATCCACAGAAGCTGGCCTCAGCGGCTTCCCCAGCTAAGAGAGATAGTGAACATTTGGAGGAAGAGGACCCCTTCTGATCCAAAGAAATGAATTCCCCGCGAGGATAATGCTACCGCTGAACGTTCGTGTGGCTCTTTCTCCAATTTATTACCTGGAGACATTTGAGATCTCCCATATTGGACTATTTCTGACCAACTGCAGCGGCAACCTCATGTGGCTCGACGTTTACGGATCGTCTATCAATACTACGCACCTGGCATCGCCATGGACACTGAGGAAACAAAAGCGAGTCCACGCCCACAGCGCCCCAGCCGGCGCACCTGCGTCGGAGCGGCAGGTGCGATGAATGAACTCCCCGCTTCGTACACCCAACACATAATCCCAGTTAGTCCTTACGCCAATCCCAGGTAATAGATTCTTCTACTAATAACATCCCCATTTTACAGAGGCTGAACCTGAGACCCAGGAAGGACAGGTAGGCAATCAGTGGCAAAGCTGAGTGACAGCGCATGACCAAGGTCACTGCTGTACCGCTAGGTCGTCCTACCTCGGGCAGTAGGCTGAAAATGACCTCCAAAGACACCGGGTCCTAGTTCCCGGCACCTGTGAATGTGACCTGCTTTGGAAAAGCGCTCTTTGCAGATGTGATTAAGAGAAGAACCTTGAGATGGAAAGATTAGCCTGGATTGGCCAGGTGGCCCTAAATGCATCACAAACGTCCTTATAAGGGAGTCGGTATCAGGACAGTGTGTGGTTTAAAAGAAAAAATAGAGAATTGGTGGGGGTGGAGGGATTGTCACACCCGCACACAGGAGCAGGCCACGTGGAGAGGGACAGACAGGACGTCGGGGTTGTTGGCCTCGCAGGTTGGAGCAACGGGGCCACACCCCATGGACCTTGCAGCCGCAGCAAGCGGGCGGGCGGGGAGGGCGGGGAAGGGTCCTCCCGCAGAGCACGCCTGGTCCTGCCCACACCCTGATTTGGGCCCCGTGGCACCTATTCTGGGCTTCTCGTCTTCAGGACCGTGAGAAATCACACTTCCATTGTTTTGAGCCCCCCCCATCCCCCCACAGTTTGTGGCAATTTGTTAGGGAAGCCCCCGGAAACTCACACATCTCCCAGCCCTCCTTTAACCGGCTTTTGAGGCGGCCATTCCCGCGGCTGACGGACGCCGCGGCCTGCTGGAGCGGTTTCCTTTGCACTGTGAAATTCACAGACTCTTGACACACTGACGCCCACCCCTCTTCCATCGGACAGACCTTGGGATATTGGAAAACCCGGAAGTGCTCTTCTACCCTGGCCCCTCTCCCTTCCAGGGTGGGCCCCCGCGACTGGGTTTTCAGTCCTTCATCAGCCAGGACACCCTTTGGCTTCTCAATGTCCCCCTTAAGCTGCGACCCTAGAAGATGACACTCACGTCTTGACTGTGTGTGACCCGAGGGCAGCGGCAACGCGGATAACCTGAAACTCAGAAACTCCGGAGCCCTGGTCAAGCCCCCGCCACCCACGGCTGGGAGCCTACATCCGGGACTTCACGTGCGTGTGGGTCAAGCTGGACTCTGGTCTACGAGGCCAGGCCCGAGGGTCTCCTGGGCAGCCCTGACCCCTCCGCCCAGCAGGAAAGGCCTTTTCCCCACAATCTCGTGGTGCCGGGCTGGAGTCCCTGCCAGCTGGACACCTGAGCCTTAGCAAGGCAGAGCCGCTGAGGACTTGAGCCAGGATGCTGAGTATCGAGTGGTGAAAAATCCTGCTGGGGGGTCACGTCAGAGGTCGTTAGGATGACCGTGAAGACAGTTTCAGTCCTTCCTAAAAGCAGAACGCGCTCCCAGAGCACAGAGCGCAGGTGGTGCCATATTTCTTACGGTCTCTGGCTTGTGCAAGAACCCAGCTGCCCGTGTGTCATTAATTAGGTGACTAATTTCACCAGAAAAGTATCTGAGATCTGCGCTGTATTTTCCAAGGGCTTGTGCCTCAGCCACTCCAGCAGATTGCTCATTTATATTAGCTTCTAAATCTGAAACACATGCTGTTCCCCGTAGCAATAGGCAATTGGAATTCACTCGGAATATCTGATCTGCAGACGCTGGCCTTGTCCCTCCTGTGCTATTAGAAGGGAAGCCAGGCTGTGCAGCTTTCCCCGCTCGTGATCAGCAGTCGGCCGGGCGGCCTTTTATCCTGATGCAATCCTGCAACTCTTCGTGCTGGGGACAGGCCTGACTGTAAGGCGAGTCTGATAATCTTTTCAGATGGCGGACCAGAGTGAAAACAGCTGCCTTCTAACCTTCTGTTCTTACTATCGGGACAACAGTCTCATCCTGGAGGCCACAGGAAATCCACAGACAGCTCTGAGCAAAGCTCCGGGGGCACCTGTGTGGAGGGAGGTGCCGGGTTCTGACCAGGCCCTGAGGCCACGAGCTGCCGGGGTGGGGGTGCGGGCTGCCGGAGCCCGGCTGGGCGTTGCCTGGAGACCCAAGGGATGGCCCACTCAAACTTCTCTTCCCACACGTCCATCCGACAGACGCCTCTTCAGTGTCTCCTGTTCGCCAAGTACTGGGGCCCGTCTGCCAGTGAGCAGAAGGCAAGGCCCCTTCCCCCAGGAAGCTTCCTTCTGATGCGAGCTGGTAGAACATTCCGGCGGGAGCGATTGGGCCTCGGACCCCTCCACTGCGGACTCCAGGAACCCGCCCACTCCCTCCGCCCCTCGCCCCTGGGGGATGGCAAGAAGAGTCCGTCCGCAAATAAGAACCTAACGTCCAATAAGAACCCAGGTCGGGTTCCGCAGCATCAAAGAAAATCGCTCCACTCCTCTCAATCGCTGCTG